ATATATCGCAATTATCCTAGTTCATGCTATAGGGAGACCAGTTCTAAAGATACTGTATAAATTTCACGTTGATATCTTGAATAGTTTTTTTGTTATCACGTACGCAGTGCCGAAAAATGTAGTTTCGAGAAAAACAGCTTTAAAGTTTCACGTCCAGTTGTTATACCTGCGCGCGGTACATTTCAGCAGGCTATAACTTCGTTATTATTGCATTTACGAAAAAATGCCAAAGGAGAAAGATAAATGGTTCGAAGAGCACTACATCTGTAGGCCTTTAAATTTTTGTTAGCTGCAGCAGTGCATGTGCAATTAACAATTGCATCATTTCTTTATATAGAACTGCATATTTTTTTTTAGACAGATCGATTCGTCTGTTCATTCTACGTATAAAATGATTAGGGTACCATGGCAAAAAAATTATTAGATCTCGAGATATTTTCAAAAAATGTCTTTATCGAAGAAGATGCTCAAACGCTTCTCCATCACATTCTAAACATTTCTGATAACGTTTTTTTATTGTTTGCATAACTGCGTATTAAATTATCTGCAGTTATTGTTGCACATTACAGTATGATTCTTTCTCTCAGATTCTCTACAGAATCTGTGGGATTTGAATAAATTCTATCTTTCAAATAACCCCACAGAAAAAAGTCATGGGGACTTAAATCAGGTGAACGGGCTGGCCAACGTATTGATGTATTTGTTGCGATAACGTTATTGCAGAACTTATTTTTTAGAAACCTCACTTTTTCAAATTCTTAGTTTTCGTACTCGAGTTACGATACGTGAATTGCTACTGAATGATGAAATGCTTCCTCGTACAAATCAGTTTCTGTTATGATAACAATGTCGAAAGGGTGTTTACCTTTACAACATAGTCATGAAGCGTTTGAGAATCTTCTTCGATAAAGACATTTTTTGAAAATATCTCGAAATCTAATAATTTTTTTGCCATGGTACCCTAATCATTTTATACGTAGAATGAACAGACGAATCGAACTGTATAAAAAAAAATATGCAGTTCTATTTAAAGAAATGATGCAATTGTTAATTGCACATGCACTGCTGCATCTAACAAAAATTTAAAGGCCTACAGATGTAGTGCTCTTCGAACCATTTATCTTTCACCTTTGGCATTTGTTCGTAAATGCAATAATAACGGAGTTATGACTTGAAACAATTGCGTGGACCACCCTGTATACCTGCGCGTGGTACATTACAGCAGGCTATAACTTCGTTAGTTTTCAGAATTTCAATGTAATATTTAGTAGATATATTTTCGAGACTACATACTAAAAGAGAACGCAAAAAAAATTCGTTTTTTTTAATCCCACAAGGTAAAAAGGCCCCTTAATTAGCGTAGAAAATTCTGTCTGAGATGCTTCCACCTTAAATTCGCAGCTATTAGCTAGGTGTTACCAGCGACAAAAAAACCATTTCCCATGAATTTTCCGTGGAGTTTCCATGGGCAATGGAATTTTTGTCGCGGGTACCACCTATTACCAGATCTCACCGCGAGGAGGTTGCTGCGCCTGGAGACCCGAAGAAAAATAGAAGAAATCCAAGTTCCATATATCTCCCTTTTACATTTTTAGAAACTAGATTACTAACCTAAAGAGATAGAAGGAATCCAAGTTCCTTCGATCTCATTCCGCTCTACGCGCATTATACAGTAGAATTCAAAATTATTATTCATATTTGCCCCGACTAATTCTTCGGTAAATGTTACGGATTATCACTGTTCTACAAATTAAATTTTGTTTTCTGTTTTTCAATATCCATTAATTCTTATAGAGCTTCGTACCCTAAACACGAATCTGGAAATTGCTGTATCCCCTCAGTTTTCGAAAACCACGAGTTTTTGTGAAAACGTTCAATTTTTGGTAAAAACGAGGTATTATACGAAAATTAAAAACATCAGACAGTTCCACTTAATCTTAAAAGATAGAGGAGAAGATTCCTGAATATGCTAACATCGATAGTTATAATTATTTTGTGCTTTTGAACGGTTGTAAATGATCGCCAAAGTTTGAAAAAATGTCACGAATAAAACGCAGGGATTTTATATATTTTATTTTTTATCGATAAATTGTGTTACTACATCAGAAACAAATTTTTAAGAAAAATCGACAGGGGGTAGGTGCAGACATTTTCCGGCGAAATTAAACAATTTCAAATCGTTTAAAAAAAAATTATTTTTGGTTACGGGGAGCAATTACAATCGTCTTTCGTGAATACACATACCCTCGAAATCCTACGCACTTTCGAGAACAAAATTCGCATAGGTGTGAAATTTTTCGGCGAAAGTAAAAAATTTCAAATCGTTCCAAAAAAATTATTTTTAGTTGCGGGGGTCAATTGCAATTATTTTTGGTCAATACGCATACCCCCGAAATCCTACGCACGAATATTGTCTGTAAATTGATAATGATAATAGACAAAATGTCCCGGAATTTATCGGGCATGGGATAATTTGGGGATAATTCGCGCAAAATGCAATTTACGACGACCATTTTGGAGCATGAACATTAAGGAAAGACAGAAAACCAACTGAAAACCACTTTATCCAACGCATAAATTTTATTTTATTTCAATAACTTATTACATATATATCAATGGAATTTATATTTAATTAATGTCAAAACATTCATCGCGTCAATTTTCAAAGAATCGAAGATGGGGTAATCGGAATACAATATAATTATCGACACGTATATTTTATTGTTCTTTCAGTTGTTCCTAAATGGTGCCAGTCGTACACGAAAAGACAATATTTGCAAGTGTAGGCTAAAAATTGCTTTCGGGTAATAGAATAAATATTTTCACATTATTATAAGAAACTTTTCTAACCAATAATATGCCAAAATAACAGCAAGTTAATCATACATAACTTTTTCACGTATTCTTTTTTTTATAAACCTTTAAAAAAAAGTTATCGCCGACATAATTGATAAGAATATTTTTTCCATTAGTCTATTAAATGTTCACCGACATACATACTCTGTGACATTTAAATAGCAGCCAAAACGTTTTTTCGTACATTTTTGGTATCAATTTTCTTGAAAACATAAACGTTCGTTATAGGCTTTCAATTTATTTCTGCGCATAAATAAATCCTTTTCCGGTAATGTCGCATTACGCATTACGGGCTGTATTAAAATCTAGTTATTCCTTATTAATTTCATGGAACGCGATGCGTATTTAATATGCATGAGTGTTACGCTGTAAATTTTAAGTGCATGACATTAAATCTATTCTACATATGTTATAATGTACGCTTTCGGTATAAATAGAAGCGTATACAAATCGAAACGTTAGAACAATACACTTTTATTATTAACCCCTTATTGCACGTCACAAATACGAGGCGACATCCCTAGTTATAATTGTAGAATTCTTTGAAGGGGTATTTCCATTTGGGGGCATCGATGTTAAACAATTTGTGTTAAGTATTTTAAAATTTGTCTCGTGTGTTTAATAATTTTTCAATAATGTCCAATAATCTTTATCATTACTAGACTGCGGATGTTTATGCATTTATGGGAATTTTTAATCCTCAAAAAAACTACAGAATGCATTTAATATGCAAAAATATAAGAAATACTTAAAGTAAGATACGAATTATTATATTTAGGGGTTGAGACAGCCCTCTGCGAAGCTTCCGTTTCATTAATTCTATTAATAAAAATGTGAATTTGCATAAACATCCGCAGTCTAATCATTACTCAAGTTATTTTCTTTTCTATTCCTACAGTCTGTTGTTCCAAATGGCTATCATGATATCTAAACAATGGATTGATTAATCTTCTTCAAGGGCATACATATTAAGTCACCGAACATTGTTTACTTTATATGACTGTCATTTTCTCAAAAAAATCATTTTCGAATGTTTTATTTCGGGTAAATACAGCGATGTCGATATCGTGACAGTTATTTAAATAATAATAAGAATAATAGTGTAACAAATTATCTGTGTTGTTTCTAAACATGATCAACCATGTATGCACTGTTTCAAGATTATTCGTCTGTGATAAATTATAATAAATATTTGATACCAAAGATCACTCTACGAACGATGTGCTTCTAATGGAAATACTCCTTAAAAATTTTTATTACAAGAATAAGGAAAAGAGTCGTTCTACTTAAGCAACAAAGTAACCGCAATATTTTCTGGGGGGAAAAATCAATGGACATTTGTTTAAAACATTTGCTCCTTAAACTGTCGAAGACGGCTACTCCGCTATCATAGTAAGCTATACGAGAAGCATTTATATCGCGTTAAAAAATTTTCTAAGGAATTCAGCAATGAAAATTTTATTCGCTATAAGCACATTATATTGATCTAAAAACTTAATATAATTAAAACTCTAGTTTGTTTCGGGAGTTTCCCAATTAATCAATAATACATTTTATACTTCGATCCTCGAAACAAAACTTCTCATAAATTCCAACATTCATGTAGTAAAGGGTTAATATATACTCTTTATGGTTTATAAATTCTTCAAAGTAGATGTACAATAAGAAAGTAAATATTTTTAATATATAATAATTTGTTACGTTTAATAAAGTGTGTCAACATCGGATGATATCGTTATTTGGTCAATGTTAAAAAAAAAATGTTTGATATTATTGTTCAACAATAACCTTAATGTAAGTTGAAATTTAGATTCTCATTTTTACGAAACAAGTCCAACACTACTGTAAACTAATATAGACGCACACCATTATGATGCTCATTTAACAATATACATATACTATGTGTACATGTTCCAAACATGATATAAACTAATTCTTCGTTTATATAGAATTTTAATTAAAGTAATTATTATAACGATTATAGTTCTACAACTTATTATACAAAATTATATAATAGAATGATTCAATCAATTTCTTAAAGGTCCTATGTAAGATATACTTACTGAGCATAGAATCTAATACCTAAACAGGCTAAAACGATATATAAAAATTGCAGGGGACAAATAAAAAAGTTACAGCTTGAAAACTTGATAATGTAATGATTATATTATTATTATTATTATTATTATTATATACGACAGTACTATGCTAATATATCAGACGAAAAATTTTTATTCGAGATGTCTTAAATCGCACATTTTAATTTTCGTTAAAGAATTAATATATTTGATTCATTAGCACAATACTATTACTTTGCAAATCATGGGAGAAATTATTCGTTAAAACTTGTTCGACTTAATACTTTGTTAAAATTCAGTGAAAGGATACTCGTTTCTATGATTAATATTTCTGGTTAATGTAAAATTGAATATCTCTTATTTGAAAATAAATAAAAGATAGTGTATAAACGATTGTTCAACTTAGAATTAGGATGAAAATTGTGCACCCCATAAAAATTTGTTTGCACTCGTTTTAAAGGGAAAGTATAGTTCCTTGACTAGGGAGATTGCTAGAACAATAGATCATATTGATGAAACGTTCTGTGTAAGACAAGTAAGTTCTGTAGAAACGCGCTTGCACAAACGTATCTAAATATTACACTACAAGGCGCATTGAGGCTTAATATAATTGATCTAAATGAATGACTAGAGCACACATTTCAATCGTCGATCGTTTGATCCGTGCTAAGATCTATGTCAATTTTCCGAATGTATTTTGTTCTTGTTGAGCATCGGAGACTGCAGTGAAAGACAAAACAGTTCCGCGGGAATCATATGCAAAGTGATGTACTGTGAAATAAAAATTAGATCCTTTTTCGATTCAGATTAGAATCCAACGTCAGACGAACAAACGTAAATGTATATATGTAAAACATATGAAGCGTTTACTGGAAATAACCGTGGCGAAAAGAGACAACGTCTTGATGTTGATTTAATTGATTTCGAAAACGTCTCGCTAAGAAAGCTGAAATCACCTGAAAAGAATGTAAACACAAACCGATTTACGCCAGACGTAACAACTTATGCTACCTCTAACATCGATCGAAAATAATTCATTGATAACAAGATATCACCGTTGCGAGGTCACCGATCTTAGAGTAATTTTTTCTAGCGATCAACAGAGTCACACGTATAGATAAATTATTGCATTGCACGTTATTAATAAAAATGTTTAACTTTAAAGATTTCAACTTCCAATTCATAGTTAATGAAATCACTGTAAATAAACAGTTTGAGTATTTGTTTAAAATTTGTACAACTTTATTATGATCGTGAAAAGACGCATCGGTATTATTAAAATTCTAGGAAAAATGTTAGAGAAATTAAAAACTAGCAATAACTTATCGCGATCCAAGTATCCTTAAAAAATTATGAAACTTGCATAATATTGAACAAGTGATTAACAGAGAACCGATGAAGATTGAATCATACAAGATGTCTGCTGCAATCCATTCATAACTACTGAACGTAAAAGACTCGAAAACTTCATATATTAATCGAGTGTCGGCAGATGATAAACAACACCGTAATTGACAGGATACTTGATAAGATAAACAGTTGCGTAACGAGCATTCAAAAATAATATATAGTCCGGTTAAAATATTTTTTAAATATTCTTAGAATGTTCGTGAATATTCAAATTGAAAAAAATATAAATGTAAAAAAGTATTTTAAGAGAACAGAGAGTAAAGCTAGGTATTTACTCATCAGAATTAGCCAATGATATCGTGACCAACGTTGATAGAAAAATAATTATGCGCGTTCGTTCTCAATAAAACTGATTCCTTCGAGAATTATTTAAATAATGTGTTGAGCCTGAACAATTGAAATTAAATTCTGACCCGTTGCGCAACAATCGGATACTTTAGTACAGCACCACCAGTGTTGTTGAAAATACGGTAGATACTTTAGAAAGTAAAGCTAGGTACTTGATAGACTAAGTATCCACTTATTATTTATCCCCGTGTCATATCGCTGTTGCGTATCATTCTGCGATACGATACGGTGCAACGGTGCATGATTTTTTTCGCCTACTATAGCGATATGCAGCGGCATATCCGCATTGAAACATAGAATACGGTCTGTCGATACGCGGGAACTATAATATAATAGGGTCTACCTACTACCTCAGTTTCTCTTCAACATCCACGGAAACAAATTATTTTTACAAGCTTTCGACTGGGCGAACAGAAGTTGAATTTGATTTAAGGTCACCGTCGAGCCCCTTATTTGTAAATATATTGAAAATATTTAATTTTAGTTTAATGAGACCGAATGTAATCCAATGTAAAGAAACGTTTTTGCCGGAGCCTCGCTAGAAAAAATTTGTTTGAAATCGGCAACCCCGCTGTTATGACTGCACATTGTACGATTTCTAAGTACTGTACGGTATAATGCTGTACATAAAACGTATGGACGAGACAAAAAATGTTTCCTTAAATATCGATATAATAACGTATAAAATAGAAGACCATAACACGAAACCACCCACCATCTATTATGAAGATCGTATGAGGTGACAGACGACATAGCGATGATGTTAGACTAGAGAAAAGCACTAGGATTAGCTCGTGGATCTTTCTGGTTCCTGTACCGCACGGTCAACCAAACACCAATGAACTGTAACGAGTTCACAAGGTAACATCAGCTAAATAACAGTTTCCACTCCAACAAAGTAAAACACTCCACAGATACAATGTATTTTTCAAGCAGTATATCGAATTTTCGTACCGTGCTTTTTAAAATCGATACACATGATAAACCAGTGTTTCTCAACCTTTTCTGTACCATGTTTTTCAAAGCTTTGAATGTCCCCTTGTCGTATGCAAGTATGATAAGCACACAAGTTCTGAAGAAGTATAATATACTGTTTAATTACTTCCTCCCAAATAATAGAAATTGTCCATCTGTGAGAAACACTGGGATAAACCATTTGAATGGGAAAACCTTAACATTTCCATAACTTATGGATCTATGAAAAAATTGTTTAGAAATTAGTGTAATTATTCAAAGGGACAAATACACATAATTATACAGGATGAATTGCATAACGTGACCACCTAGTATTATCATTCTTTGTTGTTCCACCGAAATTTGTATTGCGAGATACGTAGATCAAAGAAGTTTTTAGGATAGTTATAGAATACAGTGGAACCCTATTTATACAATGAACGAAATTTCTGACACCTCGATCCCCTCATATTAATTAAAAAAACCTTACGACAAACATAGTGTCTTTATTGTGAACACGCGTAAACAAATTCGTAGGATTTCAGTTTACAAACAAAAATATACATACACATAACAAAAAATTTTGTTTGTATTTGTGATACTTAAAACGTGATCACGGGATCTTAAATCGTATTTTTTCGACTTTTTTTTGTGTACTATATTTTCTTTTCTCGTAAGTCCGAAAGTATAGTTTTATTTCGAGACTATTGATAACCTGGAAAAAATGGCCTTTCGGAAAAACATTTTATATAACACGGTAGATAAACATAAATTTGCATGAGGAACCATAGGACGCCATCTTTGCCCTTTCTCTCTCTTTCTCTCTCTCTCTAACACTTATGATCTGTTTCCGATTCGATTCTAGTAAAATCGATCTTTTGATAGAATCGAGATTCTTTAAACGGAATCAACGCCCAAGTGACGAAGCAGATCGAATGTATACTATTATATTCACAGTAGACGAATAAAAACAAATGCTGCCTTTTTTTATTAAACGAAGTATAATTCTGTTTGTAACCTATACTCCTCTCATTTCTTCCGAGTTTTGAATCACAGGGTAAAGCAGTATCGTATAACGCGGAACGTTTACTGAATATCCGTATGAAACGAATATATTTAGATGTTCCCACTTAGATGGCTCACTCTGTGTATGATTTAAAACACGGGGTTATATAAAATAAAAAGTTATTCAATGTACATTACCTCTGTGAAGCTGAAGAACAATCCAATACTGCCACATAATTTAAACGCATAATCGATCGTCGATTCTAATTTTTCCATACAAGATAGGCACATGCAGTCATTGTCGGAAGTATAGGGGCAACAAATTTTCTGGAAAATGAAGAAAATATTGCAGGAACCATTGTATTTGCGATACATGTACACGATTTAAAATAAATATACGTACATTTACATCTTTACAAGACACTGGATACTGGTCATCTAAAATTGAGTTTACAGTGTTATTAAATCCACAGCAAGTGAAAGTGATCTGAACCTTGGCTTTCAAATCATCTCCAACGCGTCTCCAGCCCTATAAATAAAAACAAAGTTATGTCCTGTCTTGGGGTAGAAAATCATTATTTCCAAAATTATTAATATTACCTGTTCTGCCAACTGTTCTTGTTGCTTAGCATTAACAGCAAGACAGGCACAAGCGATACTGAATTGAATTAGGAACAACAGGAACAGAATGAGCATGTACTGTATGAATAGCATTAAGGATTGTATTAGAAATGTATTATAATTATATTTTCAAATGTGCATTGAAGCCAGTAAAAGATGCAAAGATATTTTCTGTTTGTAATAAATAAGCCTGAGTATTTTTACTCAATAATTTGATAATACTTTACATTTAAACCTATGTTTCTTAATATTGTTCTTGATAAATGTATACTAGGTTTTGTTTTTATTGTCATAGTGCTCAAATTAATATTTGTTAAAATACTACTGTTTGTTTAAAAGGATACAAAGAATAATAAAACTTGGTGGTGTTTAACAGCACCAATAAGACCAAGTATCGAGATAAGTATCAAAATCACACCACATGCTAGAATGCCTCCAATTATGGGAAGGTTTGTAACCAATGCGGAGGCTCTCCCATAAACAGCAACGCCTATCAGAATAAATGCAACAACCTGAAACATAGAAAGATGTCTCTATCTAATTTCCATAGTTGGACACTGAAATAGTAGTTGAATATTGTTTATATATTACAAGAGTAACAAAAATTATAAAATGTAAAATAAACTATTTACAATAATACTAAAATATTTGGATTATGTAAAAAATTCTGCCTAAAATGCCCTAAAATGCCCTAAAATTAATTTAACAGCGAGTATAATGCAAGTAAACGATTCTTCAATGATGGAAAATAATTATTTTAATCTTTTCCTGGTTGTTGGAAGTTTTGCGTAAATAAACTTTAAGAAAACAAGGTAGGATCAAATTTTCTGTTCGGGGGGTAGACAACCCTAAGTTTAGAAAATGTTGCTTACGATGTAAAGAATATTTAGCGCCGTCAGTGCGTTTTTGGAGCACGTAAAGCCGCCGCACATGTTGTATGTGAGCTTTGTTCTTTTCAGTTCCCCCACAAAGGTTCGTCGATTAATAAAATCACAGTGTTCTGAGAATTCGAGCACCGCGTTGTTAATATCACGAATTAATGAGAAAAACGCATGTGCATCAACCGATCATGGCAGACAATTTGCAACTGCTCATTTACTGCGATAATGCACATCTCGCTCGGATGCATTCAAACGAGTTCGATCTCTCGATATTCAACATTGGGCGCGAAAAACAAATCTTTGAAATAAATTCGATACAAGCACAGTTTATTATCGTGTCACGGTAACGATTCAATTTTATTTACTGGATAATTATTCTAGTTTGCCTTTAGTACAATATTTAATTTCCAGCGTCTTATCTCCATTTGTATTTGCTTAAAGAAAATTTAAGCGATAAATAAATACGCAAATATAATTCGTTCGAGACGAAAATTACTTTTCCTTTACGCTTCGATTTAATTTAGCGATAGAACATGTTCTCGGCTCAATACTACAATAAGTATTGCCAGTATACTTATTTTTAGATTTAAAAAAATGATTGTGATAATATAGTACAAGTGGCAAACGACACTATTAACTGATATAATCCGATTGTAAACGATACGATAGTCAATTTTTCTCGAACAATTCGAACCCGAGATTCAACACAGAATATTCGTCGTTCTTTCGACTTTCGGAGAGTACTTAGTTTCCACGATGGAAAAAAAACACACAGGCATCATAAATACATCGCGATAACGAGCGCCGAGATTAAACATCCTCAATATGGAATGCAAAATTAAACATACGAGATAACGTATTAGGCGCATTTCTTCCAGCGTAAAATGTGAGAATTTTTAAAAATATTTGAATATTACTTACATTTACACCGTTCGATGCCATAAATTGCTAACTGCAAGAACTTCCGCTACACGTGTTAATCGAACATTTTCTATACGAAACAATTCTATATCGCGCAACTTGCGATTATTTAATATTTCATAGTATCAAACATTTTTCCTAGAAACGTTTTGTTATTGATGTTTTGAACTTTTATTATAATATAATTTATATCAAGTGTGAAAATTGTTGGATGTGTAATGTAAATAGTAGGTGATTATATTCTTACGGTAGTTAACAGTAATCTAATGTAGAAGACAATGTCTCTTATCTTCGAGTTTAACGAAGATTTATCGGAGCACAAAGTGACTATTACTCGCAAACAAGGATAGACAAGGTATATGTGTTGTGCCTTATGTGAACTTTATTCATTGTTTTTATGTCCAATATACAGGGCGGCTATAAAAACAGCAACAACTCTTTTCTTAGAGACTAAAAAATTCATGGAGGAAGAGGTTTAATCCCCCGGAGAGAAGCCATTTTTAGAGGGTCTAACTAGATTGAACTGGGTGAAACTATTTTGTTCCCATGAATCAATCCTTATCATTCTGACAAGATATGTTATACTTTAAGACTTTGCTAATAACTTCTATAATACTTGAAATTTTTAAATAATACTTATCGTGACTCTACGAAATGGTTCGAAGCCGAAGTTTCTTGAAAACAATTAATAAATATTTCACTGATTTCAGACATATGTTAAATACGACTATAATTTTATCAACGTTACCGAACAATATTTTTTTCCAACTGAAAATATTTTGTACATGTATTTTCTATACTGTAAAACTAACATTAGTGATTTTAAATAAGTAATATCTTTAAAAAAATTAACTCCGAATTGGAGTCCGTTACCTTACCTTTGATTTAAAATTTCAAACGGTTAATGAAATTATGTATTTTTAAAGCTCGTGATGAGACATGGTGCAAAGAAGATTTCCCTAATCGGTTGAGAATGTGTTAAGATATTACTTTATGTCAACTTACGACTTTATATCAGTGTTCGAACGTTCCGCCAAGATCGTGTAAACATTTTATTACACGCTTCCTTACATTTTGAAATTGTTCAGCAGTTATGTTCGTATAATTAATTTTAACGCGTTCGTTTAATTTAATTCGCTAATTTAATTAGCTTCGTGTTTTGAAATGAAAAGATCTAGGAAACGAGAGCACTCAAGGCGCGTATGTTTTATGAACTAATAATCACTGTCATCGCTGTTACGCGATCTAGCGCGATGATTACAATTTCAACGCGAGGATGAAGTTATTGAACACTGATACAAAATATGAAATATCTTAAAAATTCCACGGGCATATTTATTAATATTTTCCTTTTCGAAGTAAAATAATCATAATTGGCCATTCTGGGTGTTTTAAAACGTACTAAAAATAGACAAGTCGTCTCAGGGTTTCCATGGTTTCAGCCATTCCATATGGAAAATGGAAAAATAATCCTGATTAGGATGAGTTTGGTTATAGCAGATGTTGTAATAAAAAATATAGTAACGTTTTTTTTCTAAGTTTGCAAAAAACGAATTTAAATAATATATTAATTGGAAGTAGCTTTAACTATCGCGTTGCATTGTTTATAATTTTTCTTCGTCACGTTTTTCAAGTCCCGAAAATAGTGATTTTTGCTAACAACAAAGTGGGGATTGACTGAAAATTGTGATAACAGGCTCGCTGATAAACCGACATATAAAATGTAGTACATCGTGGTTAGGTTCCCATTCGATCTATAATGCGCTGAAAGGAAGCTCGAACGTCAGCGCAGAGAGCCGTTTTTCCTTCTGGTGGCATCGTTACGCTCCATTACTATCTCTGTAAGCATCGCATCAATTGTAGTTATAAAAATTACCGCGCCTCATAATTGCATTGATTTCAGTATCGTGAGTGCAGTTTGAAAAGATCTCAAGTAGCAGTAATTCCTTATAATCTCATTATTTTCTATATCTCGAGTGGATTCTCCACTTTTCCGTCAAACTTAAAATATCCAGTTGACGCAACTCTAACAAGGAATTGCCATTATAAAATCGATCATTATTGTTACAATCAGCCATTATTGTCGATCGTTTCACGGTTTGCAAACCGAGCAGCTGGATATTGGAAATCATAGTTTATAGATTATTTCTGCAGTTTCGAATCGTTACAGATCATTCTCCGATTGTTTCAGTCTAGTAGAAGAAGAAATGAGAAATATGGACGAATCGCCCCTGAAACGGTGGCCACAATATTTAGCAGCGTTCACAGGTAATTTAAGAAACGATTCTCTTCTTTCGCTGATCCGTTTAAAACTTTGCAATCGCGATAATACTATTAAAAAAATAACAACGATGTGTCAAATTATCGAAAAATCGTGTGAATAAAAATGGTGTCCAGTTTCGGAATACCTTAATTTGTTTGAAAATTAAATTATTGCAATCTAAAAAAGTACTCTTTCCTCGATTATACTAATTACGCTCTAAAATATAATTAACTTCTGTTCGGGATTGTCCTCAATATATTTTAAAATTATAACGCGAAAGACAAAAATCATTACTTAGTATTCGCCCTTTTGCAAATCGAGTTTTTCTAGAAATTTCTTCTTAACGCTAGATTTACGGAATTTGTCGATCGTAGACGTCGCAGATTTCATATTAAAAATTTCAAGACGATCGAGACTCTCAAGAGCTTTGTTTTTTTTTTCTCAATGTAGCCACCCTGTCCATGGCATCGTCCGGCTCCCACATAGGTTGGACATCTCCGATATTACCAAAACTGAAATCCCCAGACTCCCACTTAGAAATATCCTCGGACGATGCCTCGTGGATCGCTTCTTTCGCTCTTCTGGGATCGATCCCCGGTAACGTGGTCGCAGCCCTCATAGTAGACTGGCTGGGCCGCAAGATGTGCCTCCTGCTGGCAGGGATACCACTCGGCGTCAGCTGGGTTTTGATCATACTCGCCTGGAACCCCTACATCCTTTACGTCGCAAGATTCATCGGCGGGCTTGGCCTCGGAATAGCGTACGTCGCCTGTCCCATGTACATCGGCGAGATCTCCGACAAGGAGATCCGGGGATCCTTAGGCTCCTTCATCAAGCTTATGGTAACGTTCGGGGAGCTCTACGCCCACGTGATCGGCCCGTTCGCGACCTATCAGCACTTGGCCTACAGCTGCGTGATAATCCCCATAATTTTCATCGTGACTTTCATTTGGATGCCGGAATCTCCGTACTATTTACTGATTAAAAATCGCGAGGACGAGGCGAGGAATAACCTGAGGCTACTGAAGAGATACGCTACTCAGGATCAGCTCGAAGAAGACATGAACGAGATGCAGAAGACTGTGATCCGCGATCTCAGCGACAAGGGGCACTTCTGGGACGTGTTTCGTACCCCCGGCAATCGTAAAGCCGTGGTGATTGGATTCGGGCTACAAGGGGTTCTTCAATTCAGCGGATTGGCCGCCATCGAGTCGTACACTCAAGAGATATTCGAGGCCGCCGACGTGGATCTGTCCGCCGGTATCGCGGTGATCATTCTCAGCGTTCTTCAGCTGTTCGCTGGCCTCGGAGCGGCTGCTTTGGTCGACAAACTTGGAAGACGTCCTCTGCTTCTGTTCACGACCCTGCTCGATGGATTGACCTTAACCATAACCGCAGTTTTTTACTTCTTGAAGTTCCAAATGTTCGTCGACATGTCGAAGGCCGGCTGGATTCTTCACACATCTGTAATATTTTACGAAATCTTTGTTGCGCTAGGTTTGAATCCGTTGTCCTACATGATGCTCGGCGAACTGTTCCCAACAAACATCAAGGGAGCCGCGGTGTGCATGGCGAATATGTGGGCCTCTTTCCTGGCGTTCATCGTTTCGAAAATGTACCAAGTGATTTCCGACACATGCGGGGTTTACGTTTCCTTCGGCTGGTTCGCGATTAGTTGTTTCGTCGGTATGGCCTTTATTATTTTCTTGGTGCCGGAGACCAAAGGGAAATCGCTGTTGGAAATCCAGGAGGAGCTGAATTTTAAGAAAAAATCGTTGAAAGGAGCGACGGAGAAAGATCAACCGGAAGTTTACGTAAGTACGATAGCTTAGGTGAAACAAGTAACGAAATTATGATAATCGAAGCAACATTTTATGGTCATTAATACGATTAACACTCCATTCGCGTTAATCTGATCAATTATTCATTAACAAGTATAATTATATGATAGTTTGTCCTGAAATTACCGAATTACTGAAAACCGTAAAGCTTTCGTTGCAAAATGAAGGACTAACCAAAGACGAAACTATTTTGAAAACCTATACGTTGTTACGAAGGGGTAGATTGTTTACGACTTGGGTTTTGAATTTGTTATATTTTTTTATAATTCGTTCAAATCCGTTTAAATGCGTTCGAATTAATTTCGTTTTATATTTAAACAGAGTCGAGAGACAAACTATAAATCCTGTAAAAACCGAAACGTAAAATTTCCCGTGTGATCTTCATCCATTATGTTTGTTTTCTATTCTAAGTTATCGTTAGAATCTAAAACGAAATTTGCTTCGGTGAAACGAAATAAATAATCCTCCACGGGAAAGATGAACATAGATTTACAGGTCTGCACGACAAAGTTCGATATTTGCAAATCAAGTATCTCCAAAAAATTTTTATCTTCGATTTGCAAAAATTGAATAAAAAGTATAAAACCTGCATCAATTGTTTAAGTGACTCAGAAACAATGAATTAAATGTATAGTATGCTACAAAGATAGCAAACGTTTACATTAGTGAAGTTTTTTAAATATCTTAGTATCCAATAAGCTCTCAGTTTGCAAACTATAATTATTCCTAACTTTCTATTGTCTCGAAAACAGACTCAGTTTGGGTCGATTTAATTCTATATAGAAGACAATAATAAAGAATACACAATACAAAATTAAAAATAAATTATTATTATCAACTTTGCTGCCAGTTGAAGTATTTCTAGCAACAGAAATTCTCGATGGAACTCAATACTTCTGATTACATTGTGAAACCTAAGAACGAGCGATAATATTTTTTACGAACGTCCAGGAACATGTTTCCTTCAATACGTTTCACAATCGTAATCGGAGCGTTGTCGCTAATCTAAACAATTGCTGCGTGATTATACATGAACCTATTTCGCCAGCGAAAGCACGATAAATTTTTTTTTTTTTATTACCGTAAACAATTCACCGAAGCAAATTTTACGGCATAGAGTGCTGATTCTTTTGTTATCTACGATTATCTCTACGAGACTCTTTTGAGAAATCGAAAGTATTCTTAGGAAGCATGCGGTTGCATGTGTGCGCTAGTTAGGATTCCGATTGTGGAAAGAGCAAACTCGCATGACCATCTTTTTTTTCCCTTTTAAGCAGGGTTAAACGTTGAGACTGATAGATATTTAATTAATCGTAAACTATATATTTATTCATCGCCAAACAATGCCACGGAACAAGAAAAGAGTAACTGATTTTTATTTGACAAGAAATTAACCGGTTTCTCTAATTAGCGAATTTATTCGATCCGTGGATCACCACGAGGATAATAATTAACACTAGATTTATGGACTCCGATTGCACGTTTAACACGTCAGACTAACAATTTCTATATATTTTATATGTAATAATTGTAATCGAAAGATCTCAATCAAAAATTACAATTGAATTGCTAATTACTTTTTTTAATGTCATTGACAAATCTTTGGCTTATCGGTGGGTGTAGTGTTGATGTATGTCCCAAAAATTAGGTGATCCGCGGATCGAGCACTGAAACTTGAAAATTTAGAATGAGAATTCTTTTCTTATGGCTGGTCTGGCGATTAGGAACATCTATCATCCCTTTGAGGCAGGGTGCAAGAAACATAATTAATAACACGATTACGATTAAACGTTATCAACGCGCGTCGCGTACCGTCGCGAGTGTTTAGAATTGCGCGCACTAAGGGCCCTGATACAAGAAGGATTTAGTTGAGCACCGTAGCATGACTAACTTTATACATTTCAAATAGAATGTAGCATATCATTATAGAAATAACTTCAGGACAAAGTATAAGTGGCCTGATTGAATATTTGTTATTATTAATATTGCGTTATCGCTTAACGAACAGCCAAACGTTTAGTGCATCGGGTCACACGCCAAAGATGAGATCAACTTTAAATCTGACGTCAGATGCATCGTGTACCAAAACGAAATTATTGTAAAATTAAATTCTTTTTTTTTCATTTTTGGTTGAAGCCCGATGTACGTATTGCGAAATATGTTTTAACTGAAATATCAAATGTATATTCACGCAATTGCATGACTCTCTACAAGTCCCTTTTAGGCAGGGTGTAAGACTACCGAAATTGTATTTTCGTACAGATTTCTACCATGTACAAGTTTGCAATTTATGTTGATTATAAAACTTACCGTTTAAACAAAAACTCAAGGTCGATGACCATCTTATTTATTCAACCTTCGGCTAATGTATTGGTATCGTTGGGTCACTTACGACCCGCTGGTATTTTGTAATTTTGCCTAGAAACCAGAAATTGAACAGTCGTGGACCATACGTGACCCAACGATACTGTTCGAGAGTTACAATTCTAATCCCGTCCATTTTCCTAAATATAACTTATTTCTTTAATACCTTCACTGCCATGTCAATTTACAATTTACAGTTTCTAAATATAACGTAGTATTTGGAAAATTCTCACCGAGAGAGCGTCGATAATCCATCAGCTATTTTCATACGAAAGATTTATATTTTCATTGGAGGGTGGTTTCAAATTCATCGACTTCAATTTAACAGTCTGCTTAGCACAAAAATGAAGAATATTTCAAACAAATTTGGCTCGAAAGTAATGGTAGTAGAGTATTCGTCCAAATGGTGATAAATTGTTCTGTCTCCAACAGCCTGAGTCGGCCTTGAATTGAAATTCAAGGTACCGTGGCTCGTTTCGACATTTTTGAAGATATTTATCTGCAAATGAACAAGTAAATTGATTTCGTGATAGTGTTTCCATAAAACGTACAAGTCCAGGGACCGCTGGTTACGTTTTAACCAGCTAGCTGTGATTGACGAGTATACTCGTCATGGAGAAGTGGCAGGATTTTGTGTCATGACGAGTATACTCGTCATGTGTAAAAAATAGTGACCATTGGCTATTTAACCAGTTAACTGTGATTGACGAGTATACTCGTCATGACACAAAATCCTGCCACTTCTCCATGACGAGTATACTCGTCATGTGTAAAAAACAGTGACCATTGGCTGTTTAAATTGTAATTTTTGTGAAAAATAAAACTTATTCTCCGATTTCAAGGTTTTTAGAATATTTTGAGGCCAGGCCGGAATAAAACAAATAAATAAAAAATATGAATAATTTGAGATGAACTCATGCGTCCCTGTATGCACCGGCTGAAGCAGCTTAACAGTTCGCATAACGAATTTATTTATGTGCTATGATAACGTTGTTTAGATATTAACATAAAAGCGGCGAAAGCAAAAGTCGGAAAACTGGTTTATGATAGGGTTCCAGGGACCAGGCGCTGAGCCCATTGAAGGCCGATTAATTTTTATATATTAGTAATAAAATTGTCAATTTTATAAAATAAACCCATCTTTTTGATCTAATATTTTAACAGCGGCACTTACTCTTTGACTGACGAGTATACTCGTCATCGTTCGATTTTCGCGCCAGGGGGCGCCACAGCTAACTGGTTAACGAAGATATGTAATGACAGAACAATTATTTAACTTGCCTGTTGCTCGGATATCGTAAGTTTTTTTGTAAAAACTATCCACATAACTGATTCGTTACAATCTGGAGTAGTTAAAGATCCATTGTAACGGTAATAACTGGTATGATCCTTGGGTAAAAAAAGATAGGGAATCACCTTGGATTTCATCGTTGCTGCGTTTCTCTCTACCCATTTCGATACCAATCCCATCGATTTCATAATGGGCGTTAAGTCTAAGTTATCTTCCTGGTCCAACTGGAATAAAATATTTCCTCCTCTAATAATACTCTCACTCTCTATCAAACCGTTCTTAAAGTTGGAAAGGAAATTAATTTTATGAAAAATAAAGTACTGGCCATTGTTCTTCACTCGAAACACCCATCTACTGGTTAGAATTCTTTTTCTCTGTGCTTCACGTACATATGTCCATCACTTCCCATTACACTTCCCGTTACACATTGCACCGATATTAACAAGATCAGAGTATTTCAGAGACAGTGTTCAAATGAAATGTATATGAAAACCAATTATTTTTAAGAGAAAGCGTACAATAATAGGGACAGATAGGCGAATACCTCAAATAACGTGGCGACGACAGCAACACCATTTTCATATTGCGATGCCTCGGACACATTGTCATACTTGTTATCATAATGCACGAAGTGTAATTCTAACGGGTCCCGAATGCCATTCATAGTGTGCTCGGCGGGCCAATGAAAGTGTATTTGCTCCAAAGTGTAAGTAGAAGGTAGACTTCCGCCTTTGAGGTAAACAGGCAGGCCGTCTAATTCGATTTGTACTACGAAACAAGTTAAACGAAAATTGGATACAATTTTCAGCAAACTTTCACACAAAGTAAAACAAGCATGTTAACTGTAATTTTTAAAGTTGATCTTAATGTAGAAGTAACGATAAAATTTGTTCACTAGAGGTTTATTGTTTTGTCAGATGAGCTATGTCATCAATAACGGGGGGTGTGAAACGGAATTACACAAATCTCTTTGTACTTAAAATATCATAAATTTTACTATACAAAATATAAAGCATTTCAATTAATTTTGTATTACATACCCGAGTGACCGTTGTTGACAATTGTTCCAAAGAATGCGAAATCGTATCTTATGAACTTAAGCGCACCGAGATCAGCTTTTACAGTTTCCTCGGTTACGATATTTATCGGCGATTGTTTGCTTCCTGTTTTGCATAATCCTGGCCAATCTTTTGGACCTAAACAGAACAAAATGTTTAATATTAATAATATGAATTTAATATTTTTCATGGACCATACTCAAGCATTGAATAAAATAATATTTATGTTGAAAGTCCATGTGCTCAGTTTATCGAAAGTTTTATTATTTAGTTAAATCGGAATGACATTGATAAATAGATTACCATTTACACCCCAATACGCCCACTCATCTGAAGCTGCAACCACGTGTAAACCTGAAACAAAATATACGTTTCGAAGTCTTGTTATTTCATTTAAGAAACGTTTAGTTAAATAACGTCATAAATAATTTATTTTCTTTGCAAGTAAACAGTAATTTTTTTAATCTGTGTTCGAGAAAAACGGACATTTTTCCCCATTATTGGTAATATAAAATATGTACCAAATAATTGTTTAAACTTGAAAAGATTCTTTCCGGTAAAATTAATTGTGGGAAAAATGCAAAGTTTTTTAAAGTACGTGCAAACGCATTTTCTGTTTTCAAGGAAATCGTTTAGTTCCGTTCGTCATTTGTCCGCAGAAAGTCAACTATGCAAATACAGTTCCCAATCCCATCTCTGTAGAGTATTGGCCCAATAAGCTCGATAAGTAATTGAATGCATGCGACAGGAAAGCAAAATTAAGCTTACTCGCAATTGACGGGACCGAATTTATTTCAAGGAGTACATTCTAGCGACCTTTTCCGCTTTCAGACATCAGCATTTATTATCGTTGACGTAGCCGAACTGATAAATCTACGATATACAATTTTTCAGAGTCGCGTAAAAACTTGGAAACTTTGCCAAATAATTTGTAATATTAATAATTGGCGTGGCAAAAGTGATAAAATCACGCTGTTCGATTTTTCATCGAACTTCAACTTAAAATGTTCAAAATACGTTTCAAGGGGATTAAATTTCTAGAAAATATGAAGAAGAAGAATGGATTATTAGAGAAAATTGAAATATTGTATATCAATTTTAAAAAAGCTTTCGTGCCTTTGATGATTCGAAATTAGTATATAATCAACCAACAAAGAAACGTTGGAATTTCTTAAATTGGCGCTTCATACAAGACCGGTGAACAATTCAAACGACCGACCGGTTTTAACGAACATAATACAAGCTTCCGGTTACTGTACAGGAATAACGATCGACTGTATGTGGATGCTTTAAAATTTTCTTAATTAACAAACCACTCAAGACCAAACGCGATAAATAATTTCTTTCAAAATTTTACAACCATAATATATTTTTTATATTCCCTTTTCTAAGAAGATTTCACAGTTTAAGTTATATCCAAGCAGGATGTTGCTTTCGAAACTGTTTCTGAGCACTTTTAAATTGCTTCGATATTTAATTATATCGAGACCCATTATGTTCATTTTACTAAACACGCCATAGTGAAGTAAACATGACAGAAGTATGAGAAAAATGAAGAATTTTCCGCGGGTAATCATTTATAGAAAATATGAAAACGACAATCACAGAGAGAATTTAGAACAAAATGAATGAACTTTTCAAGCAGTTAAGAATCTACTTCCACCTATCATTGTTGTACCTTACCTATTATTGTTGCAAGAATTACGAACGAACTTGTCATCGTAAAAGCACTACCTGGGAACTGTCAGAGCTTGCGATCATCCGATGACGCGTACGTGATGACGAGAAACATATAACTGATGTACGCTACGTACACCTAACTGGATAATACCGAGATTACGCTAGACCCTGTTGCTAGAGATTTAGTTATGCATGCTAGTTGTCCACATCCCCCTTGTTAAAAAATAAATCCACTGGTTCGGACTAAAAATCACCCGACACCCGTATTTTTCCCAGTTTTCCTTGCAGAATATTTTACGTAAACACGAAATTGTTATAATGCGTATAGAAATATTCTACGTTCTTTATTTAATGATTCCAAGCCAAAAATGTAGAGGAGACCGGAACATATTAATAATTTTTATTTTTATTTTATTCGTAACATGGAAGTTTCTTAATTTTCTTTTTCGTTGGTGAAAAAATTATTTTTAGTTGCAGGGGTCAATTACAATCATTTTTGGTGAATACACATACCCTCGAAATCCTAAGCATTTTCGAGAAAAAAATTCAGGAAGATGGACAAATTTCTCGACAAAATTAAAAAATTTCAAATCGTTCTAAAAAAATTATTTTTAGTTGCAGGGGTCAATCGCAATCAGTTTTGGTGAATACACATACCCCCGAAATCCTAAGTATTTTCGAGAAAAAAATTCAGGAAGATGGACAAATTTTTCGCCGAAATTAAAAAATTTCAAATCGCTCTAAAAAAATTATTTTTAGTTGCGGGGGTCAATCGCAATCAGTTTTGGTGAATACACATACGCTCGAATTTTTACGCACTTTCGAGAAAAAAATTCAGGAAGGTGGAAGAATTTTTCGACAAAATTAAAAAATTTCAAATCGTTCTAAAAAAATTATTTTTAGTTGCAGGGGTCAATCGCAATCAGTTTTGGTGAATACACATACCCCCGAAATCCTAAGTATTTTCGAGAAAAAAATTCAGGAAGATGGACAAATTTTTCGCCGAAATTAAAAAATTTCAAATCGCTCTAAAAAAATTATTTTTAGTTGCGGGGGTCAATCGCAATCAGTTTTGGTGAATACACATACGCTCGAATTTTTACGCACTTTCGAGAAAAAAATTCAGGAAGGTGGAAGAATTTTTCGGCAAAATTAAAAAATTTCAAATCGCACTAAAAGAATTATTTTTCGTTGCAGGAGTCAATTGCAATCATTTTTGGTCAACAGAGATACCCCCAAAATCCTACGCAGTTTCGAGAAAAAAATTCAGGAAGGTGAACAAATTTTTCGGCAAAATTGAAAAATCTCAAATCGTTCTAAAAAAATTATTTTTGGTTGCAGGAGTCAATTGCAATCATTTTTGGTCAACAGAGATACCCCCAAAATCCTACGCAGTTTCAAGAAAAAAATTCGAGTATGTGCTGAAATTTTTCGGCGAAAAAAAAAGATTTCAAATCCTTCCGGAAAAATTATTTTTAGCTAGTGGGGTTAATTACAATCATTTTTTATGAATACACGTGCTCTCGAAATCCTACGCTCTTCCGAGAAAAAAATTCTTTATCGAAAATATAATGTGTGGCCAAAAATGTTTCACCGAAATTTCATGCATTTTAATGTTTCGTAATGCAAACAACGCGTATTTTGGTGAAGAATATTTAGAAATTCTAAGAATGTCCGAAAAGTTCTATCATAATGCTGTGAAGTGAGGAAAATCCTATCAAAATGGTCCAATTCCTCGTTTTTACCACTTCATATGTAAATATAGTCCAATTATCCGGCATATTTGATTTCCCGCCATTAACCCAGTCCCGGTTATGCCGGATAATCGGAATTTTACTGTATTTCAGAAATACTGATTGCAATGTACACACTTTTTTACAAATTCTAGTCGTCTAGTCACCCTAAATTGTTCTACTTAAAACGTCGAATAAATGTTACGAAGTTGTTTAGTAGTTACAAGCATTTGCGCCGTAACAATTATACCAATATTTTTGTCCAGCATCGTTATTGCTAAACCGATTAATTTCGAATCATGGTATCTTTTCGTCCCACGCTCTAAAAGCAAAAAGGCGCGGGTGGAGCGGTGAAATAAAGAGAGAAAGATCTAAACGGGGAGAGAAAAGGATAGAGGGAATGGCGCCTTCGGACAGAAATAGAAAAGCGGCACGAAAGTCGTTTAGTATCACCCAACAGGAAGTTCTATGTAGTTCCATTGGCAATCATTATCGCCTAATTTTAATCTCGTGTGCAAATAACGATGGGTGTCCTGATAAGATCCTCCCTGAGGAGCCGGGATTCCTCCCTGACATCGATCGATCGGGACCCCAGGGAGCGAATAAAGGACTGTTGCCGAAAATTGGTCGCATTTATGTGCAGCCAGGTGGGCGTGGGTGGACTCGTGGTCAGTTACGCTATAATAGGTGCCTTCGGTTTCATGATGATCGAGACCCAAGAACCGATCGCGTCCCCGGTTTGTATACGAGAATCGATCAGAAAGGAATACGCCGAGGAACTGTGGTTCAGCACGGCCAGCAATCAGACTGTAAACGTGTTTAACAAAACAACTTTTTGCACGTTGTCCAACCAAATTCTTCGACGCTACCAGGAAAACTTTATCGTTAATTACAAGAAGGAGAATTGCAGTGGGTTGACCTCGGCCGATCTTTGGTCCTTCCCGGCGGCAATGATGTTCTGTCTGTCCGTGTTCACGATGATCGGTTACGGAACACTGGTGCCCCAAACTGCCTGGGGCAAGGGGGTCACGGTTATGTATGCAGTCTTGGGGATTCCACTTTACGTGTTGTATTTTCTAAACATGGGAAAAGTTCTGGCCCAGACGTTCCGTTGGTTGTACACGTGGTTGCACGAGTGTACTGGCAAGAAGAAACTAGGCCAGAGGATCACGGTACCCTCGACGGCTTGTCTCTGGGTGATTTTTGGTTACGTAATTGGTGGATCCATAATGTTCGCCGAATGGGAGGGATGGGATTACTTGGACAGTGCTTATTTTTGCGTTACTTCGCTCTGCAAGATCGGAGTGGGGGATCTTGTTCCTGGTTGGACGCATGGCGACCTCACCACCGACAGTCAGACAAAATTGATAATAAACTTCGTTTATTTGCTGCTTGGCATGGGGCTTATCGCTATGTGCTACGATTTGATGAAAGAGGACGTGTACGTGAAAGCCAGAGAACTGAAGGAACAGTTCATTCAAATTGTCGATGCTGCCCATTATTACATAGAAACGTGTTGCGGGTCAAAAATTCCGGACTAAACTCATAATAAACTTTGTTTATTTGCAGTTTGGGACTTATCGCCATGTGATACAATTCGATGAAAAAACAGTACATTCAAATTATTGATATGATATTTTTGTAATTATGAATTATATCGTTTAATTTATAATTAAGTCCGAAGAATATGTACATTTGTCAATTGAGATTAAAATCATGACTGTTGATTCAATTGTCTTTTTGCTGAGCCTCGACAAAAGTTTGATCGATTAAACCAGGACAGAATGATAACAACTGTTTCTATAAACTTTACACTGGTGAATAATGTGATGGTTTCCAAAACCTGGTGTTTTTCACATCGTCACAGAATAATATATTCTGTACAGAGGCGAAACTTTCTAGTTTTTTCCGACGGAAGTGTCACCTCTGTATGTTACCCTGTGTAACGTCCGCGTAGCGTACGTTCCCCCCACTCTGACTCCTTGTCCCTGCATTGCGTATAGTTAGTTACTATATAGTAAGTAACTAGATTGTGGAAACCGCCCGCAACATCACTAAACATTATATTCAATCTTATTCATGTATTAACCATTATGTTTATTCATTGTTAATTATTAAATTCATGTAAGTCTTGTAAAAATTGACAAAAGTTAGTTAATTAATGTAATAGAGTTTAAGCACGCGTAGGATTATGTAATATAGATTTTATAAATCTTTGAAGAGAGCTAGGCGTAAGATATTAGTTAAGCGTAATCGCCAGCCAAAATAGAACCAATCGAGGAATGTTATCTGCATCCGGCACAGATAGCCGGTGGGTCATGAAAACGCACCTGAGCGTGGAGTCTCAGCCGGCAATACTCGGGGATTCCCGGTATTGTAGAGAGACTGGAGCAGTGGGTGGTGTTGTCCCACTCCTCTGGTGGAAAGTTTCATAAAATCTGTATTAATAAAGTTCTCTGTTCATAGTTTGTGCTCTTTAGTTTGTATGATAATATGAGTTCCGCGAAAACACCCCTCCCCGGCGCAACAATATTCTTTTATCCCGAGGGTTATTGAGCGTCGAAGCCCGCCCACGACATTTAAAAGAATACTTAAAGAACACAAAATATCCTACTAGTCTACTGGGTTACTGAAAGTCGCAGTCCGCCTGGAAAAATAATAGATAATTACCGTAGTCCGCATAATTTAGATGCCAAAGAGAATCCGCCGTTCCGGTCGACGCCAACTCCTGGCGGTTCGGGTTTTGTTCATAGTAACCGCAAACACCGTCGTCCGCCAGCAACGCAGCCTTGCTCACCTTGCTGCAGGATCCGCAATGCCGACTCAGTGGCAGTTACACCGGCTACAGATGCAACCACAGCCTCTCGACCACGCCGACAGCGCCATGTGGCAGCGCCAGGGAAATTTTCCTTTACGTATCACCTGTAACTTTGTGATATCGTTACAAATGAATGCTAATGCCGCATCTAGTATATAAAAATCTATGCTTTGGATCTAGCTCTAAATTTAGGGACAATTCCCTAGAACCTCATTGTAATATACATACAACATACAATAATAGAACCGGTAGGTGAGACCACATTTTACCAAATCATAAAGTTCGTAGCACTCAACGTGAGCGTTTTGTAGTCATTATAGTTTCTTAAACAAGTACTGTGGAACTATTGAATATAATAACGAATAAGATACATCTTAAAGTAATTAGTACATAAGAATGCATTCATTTAATTAATAATAATACTGTGAGTTATAAGTAATTTGCATACAAATGGAAGTATTTAAATATACTGCACAATTGATAAGCCGTGTTTCGTCAACGAGGTTCTTAAATATAGTTCGTCATTGTTCTGTATTAAATTCCATTGAAAAAGAAGAACAAACAGATGTTTATACACCTACGGAAGACATACAAAAGGATACAATCGATAAAATAGAAAAATTATCTTTGATAAAATTCGAAGACAATTATAGTATTTCTGCAATAAAAGCTGTACTTAATTTTACAGAATGTTTACGGACTGCACAAATTAATGAAACGATTGAACCTATGTACAGCCCGCTTGAAAAAAATTTAATTCCTTTAAGAGATGATAATGTGGACAATAGCTTGCAACGGAATAAGATTTTACTGAATGCTGTCGTTAAAGAAGAAGAATATTTTGTAGCTCCTATAAAAGACACTAGAAAATTATGAATATAATACGTATCTTAAAAGAATTAAATGCAAATTTTATTAATCTTGCACAACATGACCTTATATATGGACCTCAAGGTAGAATGTTATTAAAAAATCTTGAAGACCATTGGTTTTTACATTGTGTTACAATGTCACGGTATAATATATTTTTATCAGACAAAATTACTGATACTTTAAATTTTATTACTAAAACTGCAATGGATGACATACCATTTGGATTAGCTACAATAAAAAATTCAAAAAATCAGTGGAATCAAACTAATATTCCAAGTAATTGTGAATTTAAACCTCACAGAACTGCTGAAATAGCTGTTTTTAATAACGATATTGAGAGTAAAAATTTATATCATAAACTACAAAAAGAACGTAAAATTTGGTGGCGTAAAATAGCACAGTTTCCTTTTAGATTTAAAGTTACCGAATCGAAAAAAATAAAAAACTTTGATACGGTAGATGTGGAAGCACATTTTTCTTTTGGAACTATTGTTGTGGAAAGAATAACTTACCACACTGACGTTCGAAAATTATTCTCTCAGGTGCCTTGTTTCATCTTCTATAACCTCTGATTTATAAAAATTTTAAAATAAAAATCGTTTATATGGAGTATTTTATTTTCAGATTGATAATAAAAAAGATTTTACCAATATACAAATGGTCGAACATACAGTATCTTTAGATTGGGGTTGCTTAGCATTACTTTGCGATGCTTATGACACAGACAAATCAGTTAAAATGCAAATACATTTTAAGCTAGCACCACATAAAGTCGCGATTTGTATAAAAAAGTGGAAGAATGAAATGAACATTGAAAATGATGATTTAAATCACTTTGTACTTTACTTAAATAATATGCTTCGAACAGAAGGTCTGAATACTATATTAACTAGCTCGCAACAAGTTATAGAAACATGTTTAGTTCCTTTTGTAGTTTTAGTTGACAGGACTAGTCTCGAAAATGGCATTATACACGTAACAAATAGATCAACAACTCTCAGTGAAGCAATTCACATAACCGATTTAGCAAAGTACATAATTATGCATTGTTAACCTACAAATATAATTTATTGTTCCAATAAAATTTATGTAGCAAGTCTTCAACATATAGTATCAGTGCAGTTATTCTTTTTTTTAATTAATAAGGAATACAACAAATTTTAGAAACAGCAATGACTTTCATTTCTGTTTTGTATTTGATATATTATTTACTAACTTGTGAAATATGCAGCTACCTTACTTTATAATATTACCGTCAAAAAATGTAATATGCTAGAAAATCAATAAGGACAACATTCCGCATAAAACAAATGTAATCGCATGGACTTAAGATGAACAGTTGCGCATGGATGTCATGTGATGGTAAAAGTACAAGAAATTGGAATGCTTTGTACTTAATAAAATGTACACTTTATACACCAGCATTCCTTGAGTTTTTGAATATTGCCAAAATTTATATAAACTCAATTAATGTTGCCCGAACGAGCACTCGTAAGTTCTTCAAATAATAATACTTTTAAACAGCTAAGCAGGTAGTTGTAATTTCTTGCCTTTCAATACTTTGGTAATATAGAGGTAGAAAAAGTCACAGTATAGAACTGTTTGTACTAAACCAGCAATTATAACAATTAAATCATAATGATCCTCCGCGTAATAGCGGTAAACCCAATTCAACAAATAAAGTGCTCTATAAGATCCCAAAGCAAACAAATAATGACTGGTAATGCTTTCTGCCTCCCCCGTTTTTGACACCAAAAATAACTGCGGCAGTATTGCTACAGATTCCAGATAAATGCTGAACGTCCATAAAACTTCCATGATTGTGAAATCATGATTGATCAATAGTGCCAATAGGAATGCAGGCACGACTAAAAACTCGATTCTAAAAATAAATACAAAATTATTGCATAGAGTAGAAATATACAAATAATATTGCTACCTTAAGGATTATATAGTATATAAATTATTTGACATATAAAAGACATACCTAAATGTATCATGATTATGGTCATATGTTGCTCTAAATTTAACATACATTAAAGAAACCGTAGCACAAGAGGCTACAATAAAAATGATTTTCATAAATGTGTTATACGCTGAAATGTATGTTGTCACCAAATCTATGTAACGCAACGTGTATACAATAGTAAACAGAATTTGCGATTTGCCACTTATACCTGTGAAATATAACCAAAGCATCAATAAAAATTAACACTTCTCGGAGTAAATGTTTATTGAAGTATGGTCAATGTTCTATGTAATAAATATATAAATAATAACAGCAGCACATACCGGCACAGCTTCGCGTTTTCCATATTTTAAGCAGAAGGATAATAACCGCGAGGAGATGCGATAAGTCACCTAAGAGTCGAAATATGTTCATATTTTCAGTTATTGAAAAGTAATTTTTTATAACAAACTAAGACTTCGCGAACCTAACTCACAAAGCATACAAAATATGACGTGGCTTTGGCTGCAATATCAGCAGATGGCCGACCAATCAACCCCATTTAAGTTACATCTTTCATGCTCTCAATAGATATAAAATAAAGTATTATGTACATGAACATCTTCAATTTAAACATTTAAATTAATATATATTTTATAAACGAAATATTTATAATAATTATGATATATGTACAGAAATGAATTTAGTAACCATACATTTCTGGTGTATTTTTATTGTTAATTTCATTATTGTATTATGATATTGAAAATTAATCTTTAGTAATTATCATCATCCTAGCTATTCTAAAAATATAAATCTAAATATATTTTTGTTTATTTAGTGTTATGCTATCGTATGAACATAGCTTTAAGATCACGTGACAAGGACTTTTCAGTAAGAACGAAATCTAAAGTGAACAACATTTAATTAGACAACCAGAAAGGTACAGTTATTTGAATTTAATATTTGGATACTACGATTTCGGAACATTATTGCTGTATATATTTGTAGTAGTAGTAGTAGTATGTATTTAATGTTCCCCTTAGGGTTACATATCTCCTCTCCTTTCCCTTACAATTCCTCCTTAAACTAACTTATTCTCTATCTTCCCCCCATCCTCCCCTCTCCTTCCCTCCGCTTAACCTTCTCTTAACCTAGCCTTAACCTACATGCCTTGCCCGCTCGCTACTCTCGCTTCGCCTCTCTTTGCCTCGTTTCGCTTTCTATTTTCTATCCTTAAAACTACCTTAACATTACCTTAAACTTACGCCTCCGCATTTCCCCGCCCGCCTCCTTCGCCTTCGACTTCCCTTTCCCTCCTTTCACTCCTTACTCCTATTCTACCTCCCTCCTTCCTAAATATTGCTGTATATATTTGTATATATTTATATTTAATATAACTCTTTCGATGCTTTAAAATGATAGCTAATAAATCAATCGATTTATGATCGTACTTAAAGTTTCTATTATACATATATTGTACAGAGAAATTACTACTGGACGTGCCAGAATGCCACCAAAACTTAGTGGAAATTCAAAATTCTCTATCTACTGCTTTAAAAAACGAAACTTCGATCTTTTTCTATCGAATATAAATTCTTATTTAGAGAAGGAATGGTTTAAAAAATATTGATTTAATAATTTTAAGGCATTATTTTGAGAATGAAGTCCATGAATTTTGTTACGGGGCTCGCAAAGAAAAGAAAATATATCGCAATTGAAAATTTCGATAGTAAAAGTATTCATTATCGAAACGAATGTATCGAGTATTTAATCGAATTGACTTGGATTTAGGTACTTGAATCGGTTCATCTTTACTTGTCTGGTTCTGAGTGATTTTGAGCATTTTTCTCTTTTTAATTTAATTGTGCTATTTATGATCTATTAAATACATTTACTCTTTTATCAAGATGACCACGACTACTATTCCAAAGGTATGCAAAGTAAGATATTCGTAATCATAAAATACAACGTAATTATATTATAATGTAGGTTATGTAGTTGTTTTCATTAAATGAGTATTATTTAATGATTTGTTACATTTCTAACGAAAAATGTGAAATTTTTATATCTAGGTATAACTTTGAACCGACTCGGAGGTAGAAAACATTGGAAACATTTTTTCTAATAATTTTCTTTAATGTTAAAGTTCATAAATCTACATTTTTCTTTTTTGTTAACCCTTGGACGGTCGCACGGAGTCCATCAGGAACCTCAGTCCCATTGTTTCGTTAATAATTCATCGTTGACTTAATTAATACTCGCTATTTAAGGTTATCCTTTCACCTAACCTTTCCTAACCTATGTCGTGGTTACGCGGTTCTAAGCCGTTTAAATGGACTGAAACTAAATAAGAGAAATATATATGATAGATTTAAGTTTCTAAGACACTATTATAACTACTATCATATGCAAATATCAGAATAGTACATATAAAATTTCAAGTTAATTGTATAATGTATCTAGAAGTTATGAAGCATTTATTATACAAATATATTTATTGCAAAAGGATCATATAAGTATTTCTAAAGATCAATGGAATAAATAATGTTTTTATTAAGAATATGTAAATATTAATAGCTTTGGTCTATAGACATTGTATAAGTTCTATATCATTACTATAAGTGACTGTTTATAGTTAAATTCAATACGAACAAAAATACAAATATAAAGATAAAAGATCCTATAGACAAACTGTAGAATAATTATATAAGTAGAAGCATGCCCATGATGTATTATACTGTAAAAGAAATCAAAAATTGATCTACGCATGGTTTCTATACAATAAAAGAATTTCTTATAATGTTATTATAATAGTTAGCATCCTTTAGAAAACATTAAACGATTGTTAAAAGTTCTAAAACTTATTTGTGTTGTAAAATTTTAATTTCTGTTTATTGTATGCATTTTTTATTGCTTTTATATTTATTTTGAGTTTAATAAATGTTTACTAATTTTGTCTTACAATAAATACATATATGAAACATTTGTACTAAATGAAAGGTAAGTATTTCATACTTCGTTGTATATCATTTTTAAGGATTTTGAATAATCTATTAAACGTTATTGGCAGGATGTTCTCAAATTGAGAATCAAATTTATTAAATTCTCACATAAAAATCTAAAGCTTATTTTTGCATATTACTGTCAAGAATCTACTTCTGCCTGTTGGAATATTTTCTAGCTGAAAACAAAAATTTGTTACTATTTTGTTTGAATTTATACAAACTAATGTAGAAATATAATAAAGATTTCCTGGGAGCATATTACTAGGAATGGGTGGGTACCAGAGCTTCGACTTGGGTTGTAATATAAGATTGTAAATTTCAAGTATTGTAATAATATAAACTTTCAGACTTCTGATCCGATTTTAAATATTCGACCTGTCTCAATCCTACATACTACTAAATAGTGATGTCAAATAAGCGTTAAAATAGTTAAAATTATTCATATAATAGCAAAGGTGTTAATTTTTTATTGACTCAAAAGAAATGGAGTTTGTTGTTCTTTGCGTTTTCTATTATTAGCTCAATACTGAAAAATATGGTTTCAATAGAAGACAAATTCAGTTTTCATTCATAGTTTTTAAATTATTTTTAAACGACTTCGAGTAGAAAAGTAAGAAGTAGTTCAATTCTTATTCTTATATGTCATTTTAAAAAAATTAATAAAAAAGACAAGTACGACTATATCAAGAAGTAATAATAATTTTTTTATAATAGTAACAGTTATCTGTGTATTTTTTTTTTATATTTTAATGAATAACCATAATCACTTGTTTCGGTATTTTAAGTTCTATCAGTCAGATTCCTGCCTAAGATATTAAAGATAATTTATTGAAATAAGAAAAATAACAAGACAAATTTATTAAATAAATCATTTTACAGGTTTCTGGTACACCATCTATACAGGAATTTAGTATCAGAGTACCGAAGTATGTAGAAACATTTACTTATCTTCGGTATAAGATTTTAACAACCATGAATATTTAATAAATTATTGTCTCTATTGAACAAAATATTCTATTACTTCAGAAATAACAAGAAGAAACACAACGTAATGCGTTTCAATGCAACATTAAACGTTGATTTTTCAAAATGGTCGCAAGTGAAAATGGAACGCGAAAATAATATGAGAGAATATAAAGGAATAGAAGAGGAGATGCCAAAATTTGGAGCCGGGTCTGAATTTGGAAGGGACGCGAGAGAAGAAGCTAGAAGGAAAAAGTTTGGTATCACTAGCAGAAAGTATAAGCCGGAGGATCAACCCTGGATTTTAAAATCCGGTGGCAAAATTGGGAAAAAATTTAAAGGCATAAGGGAAGGAGGTGTAAGTGAAAATGCTGCTTATTATGTTTTCACCCACGCTGCTGATGGAGCTATAGAAGCTTTTCCGTTACACGAATGGTAGGATAATTTATTAACTTCTCAAAGATTAATAAATAATTTTAAACGTAAACTCTTTGTACTCAGGTATAATTTTCAACCAATTCAGAGGTACAAAGCGTTGAGCGCGGAAGAAGCAGAACAAGAATTTAGTCGCAGGAATAAAGTAATGAACTATTTTTCATTGATGTTACGGAAAAGACTGAGAAACGACGAGGAAGGCGCGGACGACGAAGAAATAATGGAAAGTGGAAAGGGCAAGAGGCCGGGTAAAAAAGAGAAGGATTTAAAAATATCCGAAATGGACGACTGGATGGACAGCGATGATGACAACTCGGGTAGCGATGCTGAAGAAAACAAGAAAAATTCTGACGAAGAGGACAATTCTAAGAAGAAACAAAAGGGTAAATTTCAAATGGTATTCTTAATCAATTGCCTCGTAACTACTTATCGTGCCGTGTTATAGAATACAATATAAGTATTTGTATTAGGTGATACGAAGAAAAAGAAACGAAAGGACAAGGCATCCGACGATGAAGCATTTGAAGAAAGTGACGATGGAGATGAGGAGGGCAGAGAATGCGATTACATTTCCGATTCATCCGATTCCGAATCAGAATTGGAACAACAGAAAGAAATTAAGTCTGTTGCAGAGGAAGATGCATTAAGAAAATTACTTGCGTCTGATGAAGACGAGGATGATGAAGAACAAGCGGACAAAAAGGATGGCGACGAAGATAAAGACGAAGAGGATGAAAATAAGGAAAAAGAAGACAAGGTAAAAGAAACCAAAATGTAAAATTCTTGTAGTATCGATTGTAGCTCAACAAACAATTTTCCATTTCTTTGAAACGTTTTCAGGATAAGGATAAAACTGGTAAAGATATTGAGAAGAAGAAAGATCGAAAGAAAAAGAAAAAGCAAAGTAAAAAGAAAGATCTTAAAAAAAATGCATTAGGAAAGGATTCTTCTAGCGACTTCTCTAGCGATTCGGGTTCCGAATCCGACACAGTAAAAGAGAAGGATAATAAGAAATCGAATAGCGCGCATAGTTCAAGGTCAGCAACACCTACACCAGTTGTTGCTGGAATGTCAGATTCCTTGAAAAGGAAGCAATGTAGTTCGCCAGATTTATCTCAAGCGAAAAAATTGAAGTTGGATAATTTCAATTTGGTACCAGCAACTTCTTATATCCCAGGAGCTAGGTATGTTATTTGTTCCCTACTAATCGTGCCAATATCATTATTTTCAGATTTATATACTAACTTGAAAAGTTTTTGATATATTATAGTGAATCTGGAATCACTGAAGATGCCGTTAGACGTTATCTTATGCGTAAACCAATGACAACAACGGAACTTTTACAGAAATTTAAATCGAAAAAAACTGGCCTTACTTCCGAACAGTTAGTTAATGTGATGACTCAAATACTGAAGAAGATTAATCCAACCAAACAGACAATAAAAAATAAAATGTATTTATCTATCAAAACACAATCTAATTGATATTTATCGATATTTTTACAAAATAGTAAAATTATTTGTATATTTATTTTGTGTAATGCTCTATAATAACTGTTATTTGTATATTATTAAAATAAATTAATTAAGAAGGCTTTGTTTATTTTGTAAAGCCACAATGTTTTATTCATTCCCGACTGTTATGATAATTAAAAATTAATATCGAAACAATTATATTCTGTACCTTGTCAGAGGCGTTAGTGTTAAGGCCGATACCAGTACTGATTCTATCGATATTTTGAGAATATATCGACTCCTACTGGGTACTTCATATCATAAGTATCTTGATGATTACTGTTTGTGTATATGTCATGCACTAACGGCGGAGTTCAAATTTTAACTTGTGCAAAATGTCACAAAGGTCACCATACTTTATCCTTTGATGAACATAAATTTAAATGATTATACAACGAAAACGTTATTGAAAATAAAATCCAGACAATCGGAGTAATAAATACATCGGCACTGCTACGATCATTTTGGAATTTTCCCACAAATTATAAATATCTATTCCAAAAACTAAAAACAAATTGAAAAATATTTGCAAGATTGATATTATATTGCAGATTAACATCATTTATCTCTGTATGCATTTTTTTGAAAATAGAATAGATTCTTAATCGGATTATAAAAATTAATATAAATTAAATTTTTGTATTTTGTACAATTTGTTGACTTTGTCTCTGATATAATTTTTCGCGAATTGCGCGTACCAAAACATTTTCGTTATCTAGTAATACTTGTTTTTTATGGTCTAATCAAATTTCACACAGGGTTAGAGAGATAATGCCTATGTACATACTTAAATCTTTATGTAATATGATAAAAGTAATATGAGAAGTCTCGTTTAAAACTTTACCATATCTTGTTTAACACTGCAAGTAGATTGATGCCGTTAACATCAACTGAGCGTAAAATAAAACTTTTTCTATAAAGAATGGACATTATAATTACGGATATCGATGTAAAAGATGTCAGATTTCCAACATCATTATTGGCAGATGGAAGCGATGCTATGGTACGTTAATTTTTGTATATATTGCAAACAAAGAAATTTTGTATTATTTGTGCTAAAACTGAGATATTTTACTTATGAAATTATCTTTAATTACAGCACACTGATCCCGATTATTCTTGCGCGTACGTAACAATAAAAACTAACCGAGAGGTCAAAGGATATGGATTAACATTTACTTTGGGTAGAGGGACCGAAGTTGGTACATAGATATTTCTGTACCTTAAGAAACGTAATTATTACACATAATACTTATTTTCTAAAAATCTTTTTAGTCGTTCAAGCGTGCAAATCGATGTCGTACTTGGTGAAGGGCCAAGATGCTAGCAAGATTTTTGCAAACTTTGGGTCCTTTTGGAGAAGATTGACTAGCGAGTCACAATTAAGATGGGTAATAAATACATATAATCACAAAATGATATAAATATAATACATAGAAAATGTTACGAAATATAGATAGGACCAGAAAAAGGTGTAACCCATCTTGCTACAGCAGCTATAATAAATGCGCTGTGGGATTTATGGGCGCGAATAGAGAATAAACCAGTTTGGAAACTACTGACTGATCTAACACCTGAGCAATTGGTTTCTACGATAGACTTCAGATACATGTAAGCTGCATACTGTGGAATATTCAATTTTTAAATAAAACATTTTCACTTGTATTCTACAGTACCGATGTTATTACGAAGGAGGAAGCGATACAGATGCTCAAAAACAATGAGAAAGGAAAGGTAGAACGTGAAAAAGTATTAGGAAAAAATGGGTACCCCGCGTACACGACGCAAGTGGGTTGGCTGGGATACAGCGACGACAAAGTTAAAGATCTCTGCAAGAAGTTTTTAGGCCTTGGTTTCACGTCCTTCAAAGCAAAGGTCGGGCAGAATTTAAAGGATGATATAAAGAGATGTCAACTGATACGCGACATGATAGGATATGAAAATAAATTAATGCTGGATGCAAATCAAATTTGGGACGTCGACGAATCGATAGAGTGGGTGAAACAATTGATGAAGTTTAAACCAACTTGGATCGAAGAACCAACATCCCCGGACGACGTTTTGGGCCACGCTAAGATCGCTAAAGAATTAAAACCGTATGGGATTGGTGTTGCTACCGGCGAAATGTGCGCGAATCGTGTTATGTTCAAACAATTGTTACAAGCAAATGCAATTAGTTATTGTCAAATTGATTCGGCTAGGATAGGCGGGATCAACGAAATATTAGCTGTTTATTTCATGGCAAAGAAAATGGGAGGTAAGTTGGATAAATGAAATCTCACCATTCCGACGTTCTATCGTAATTTTTCTTGCACTAGTTCCAGTGTGTCCACACGCCGGAGGAGTGGGTCTATGTGAAATGGTCCAACATCTCCAAATGTGGGATTTTATTTCTTTGAACACGTCTACCGAAGATCGCGTGATCGAGTACGTTGACCAACAACACGAACATTTCGAGCACCCTGTACGAGTTCAGAATGCTTGTTACATGCCACCCACGGCTCCGGGGTATTCGACTAAATTCAAAGATGATTGTATTAAAAAGTATACATATCCAAATGGCGAACAATGGAAGTACATGTATGAGAAAGGGCTCTTCCAAAAACCATCTGAATTAAACACAAAATCATAACGTATGAACTTACATTGAGCATATAATGTTCATATTAACATAAATGTATTCTTCGTTAAATCAAGAGTATTACGAAATTTTTATACCATAATATTTAGGAGAAATAATTGTAAGAATATTAAGATTCTTTAATCATCAAATTCTATGTTTGTAATAATAAATTACAAAACATACTTTGCATTAACTATGAAGCTCTTTGTATGTAGGATTGTACATATTCAATCTGAAAAATATAATAATTAATGTTAGTAAAATAAATGTAAATAATTCCATATTTTATGGTATATTATATACGTACACTCACAAACTGAAAGGAACCAGGTAAGTAAATAATTTTATTTAAAAAGTTCATATTTTCTACTGGAGAAATAACATGTAAATGCAAATGGTTCACTGTATTAAATGGTGGCCAATGAAATCCTGTTCGTGTAGCTGCACGATCAAGACCTTGCTGTTGTATTACTATGTCTAATGCAGAGATCATTTTTTCAACTAGAAATTTCCAATATTTTTAAGCTATGCTTATTGAAAATAAAGTTTGGAAATATAAATAATGCAAAAATCACTTGCTGTCTTGAGGGACCAAGGATTATATTTGTTTTTATATTATTTTAATGGCATGAAACTTAGCGAGTAAGGAAATCTTTTCAGCTGATATAGGTATCAACAACCATCGCTTGACATTAAATTTATATTATTATAAATATAAAAATTTACCTAAACAGTCTGGGTTATGTCTTAGCATTAATTTAAACAACAGAAAATTTATCGATAATAAACAAAAATAGGGCCAAAATGTTTGGTCCCCCAAAGCAAAGTTTAATCTTGTTTTATATTACTTACAAATTTCAGCATGCTCTCGTGTAAGGTCTTTTGCATTTCGTATATGTGTTTTCGGTAGTATCAAATAATGATGCGTCGAAACTGGTTTAATGTTTTTAATACAAATCACATATTCGTCCTACAACAAAGCATAGAGATAACTTTTATTTGATAATTGTATCTTCTTCCACAATTAGTCGTCATTAATTAAAAACTAGAATCTACATGTTGGCGTTAATTCAACGATGAATATTTTTATTCTTTGGTACGTTTGATAGTTGAGGTTAAATTTTTCATACCTCGTAAATTTTTGTACTAGGCTCTTCATTGTATATAATTTTACAAAATATACAATCGTCCTTGCGAGACAGCTCTGCCATGTTGTAGATCAGAAAAATCTATATAGAATCTATACAAGAGTCGAAGAAACAACTTTGATAACTTTGAATGTGCCCCCAAACATACATAGTCATGCTTTTATAATAATTATCCATTCTGTATAACATTATATAAGAATAATTAAACGTACGCCGTTGCGTAAATATCGTATAGATGTTGATATATTTTTGTGATATCAATACTAAAATTGGTATCAATTTTTTTTTATATGTATTTGAATTTATAAACTGTTATCAATAAAATCGATACCGGTGTCGGTTTTGATATTACTTGTTCTTAGATCATGATTACCGAACATTATCTTTATCTTTTATGAAATGGTGGGTACCAAACAAGAAGTAAACTTCTGATTTAGCCAAACTTAGATACGTATAGGGGCACTGAATCAAGTGTTTCGAGTTTCGATGTTAACTATTTTGTGCAATCCTCGGACTATAATCGCTTCCGGAATTTAATATTGATTGCTTCTGAAATAATTTATTATTTAAAATGCGAAAATTGCTAGAATCATATTCAAATCCAAATCAAAATTGTTGGAAATGGTAAATTATTAGTAACGTTTTTTTTATATATTGTACCTCGTTTTATGGTATTCATATACGAAATCCGGAACTATTCGCTTGACACGAGTTTTATTTTCACACACGTAAAAATAAAATTATTGCATATACATTTACATGTGAAATATATACATATCAGTTTTAATCGAATTATTTAAATTATGTTCTATAAGGTCAGTTATTCAAATAAAAAATTTTAATAACATGGTTACATCATGGTACAATAGCTTCTAACATAATCTACATGTCGTGGTACTTCTTATAGAATAATTCTGTTTTGTACCGAGCATACATCACATTCTCTCATGTTCATATCTTCTTCGCACTCATACTGGATGAATTACTACAATTCTACTTACAATGTTTCGTAATTGTGACAGCTTGTCGAGCTATCAATTTTCATAGTTGTCTCGCGAGGCCAAGTATTTAACACTTACAAAAAAGTATATCACCGGATACTTTCTGCACAGAGTGAAAAAGAACCTGCTATCGGCAAATTCTGTGATGAAATTAATTATGTACAGAATTTATAAATTGACCTCACAAGATTATTTTTGCATATTCAGCGGTTCGAATAAATTCGTTAGTTCAGATTAAAATGAAATGTTTGTAAAGTTGTTACAATTTATGCCATATTTGGAATAGTTTACAAATATTTACGTAGTTATAAGGCAGTAACACATTTGTAATTGTCCGATTGAAGAAGTTTTATCAGTACTTCACTCTGCAAATTCAAATTAATATTTCTGACTTACAACCATACATGCTCAAAAATAAAAATAAAAAAACTAACAATACTATGTTGCAAAATTTTGTTAACTTTTACATGAGAGTTCTTGAGCATGTAAGATATACATTGATGCTTTTATAGCTGTGTGCAATAAATTTCTTTTATCTGAAATACATGTTAACTTAAACACAATTAATTCTTCTCCTCTTTCTTCTGGGCTCCATCGTCTTGTTCGTTTTGGTTTTGGTTTTGACTTTGACTTTGGCTTTCGCGTTCCGCGGCCATCTGCGATCAAATACATTTAATATAAAAAATTTATATCGGAATTTAAAAGATTTTAATTAAAATTAATTAAACAGCTAACGTACTTTCTTATACGCCATTTCGAATAGTTTAAGACTCGCTTGTTGCAATTCGTTTGTTTCTTTTTTAATTACGTCAGGTTCGACATCGTCTTTCTTAGCCAAAGTTTCTCGCATTCTTGAAACTAATTCTCTGAGTTTATTACACTGGAAACGTTAAACGAAGTTGTGAATACGAAAAACGCCATCAAATAATATTGCTATAACAATATGTTATTTATCTTACTTCCTCTTCAGGTAACTGGGCTTTGAATTCTTCTAACTTAGATTCTGTGTCATGAATAATTCCTTCGGCTTGATTAACAGCCTCGACTCTATCTTTTTTAATTTTGTCTTCTCTAGCGTATTGTTCGGCATTTTTCACCATGTTTTCGATTTCATCTTTACTAAGACCGCCGCTCGATTGGATAACAACTGCGAATAAGAAGTTACTTCTTTAACAATATCTGTTCTATTAACAAACGGTTAAAACGGTTTCCTTTACTTGACATTTCACGTACTTTGTTGTTCCTTGCCAGTTCCTTTATCCCTAGCAGACACATGAACAATGCCGTTAGCATCGATGTCAAACGTGACCTCTATTTGCGGTACACCCCTAGGCGCGGGTGGTATACCGACAAGAGTGAACTGTCCCAAAAGTTTATTATCGTTAGCCATTTCTCGCTCGCCTTGATGAACTTTAATTTCTACTTGAGTTTGACCGTCGGCTGCTGTGGAAAACACTTGACTTTTCTTCGTAGGAATAGTCGTATTTCGAGAAATCAATCTTGTGAAAACACCACCTAGCGTTTCAATACCTATAAAATAAAAGCAAATTGCACCGTCGGTCCAATCGCTATTGCAGAAGCTAAAAGTGATCGCAACAGTAATAACTCAGTATAACACGATCTTCATTTTTTATCAGAGAGAAGATTAGTTATGATAGACATCATTGTATAGAAGTTAGTCTGATTTCATCCGCGGGAAAACAATTATTTACCAAGAGATAGTGGTGTAACGTCCAAAAGAAGAACATCTGTTACATCTCCGGCAAGTACACCACCTTGGACTGCAGCACCGACAGCTACAGCTTCATCAGGGTTTACAGCCTTCGATGGCTGTCTACCAAAAATTTCTTGTACTGTCTGTTGAACCTTAGGCACTCTGGTCATACCACCGACTAACAACACTTCACCAATATCAGATTTCGATACTTCAGCATCAGAAAGTGCTTTCTGGCACGGCTGAAGAGTACGTTTGATCAAATCGCCTACAAGACTTTCGAATTTACTTCGAGAAAGTTTGAGGTTCAAGTGTTTTGGTCCATTAGCATCCATAGTTAGATAAGGCAAATTTATATCAGTTTGAAGAGAACTGGATAATTCAATCTTTGCTTTTTCGGCCGCTTCTTTCAACCGTTGCATAGCCATTGCATCCTTTGCTACATCTATGCCTTGCTATAAAAGTAGTGGAATATTATATATAATTCCTACTATGCCGTAAACAGAAAATATTGTTTCGATCGACTATACACACATCTTTCTTAAATTCTGACGCGAGGTAATTAACTAAGGTATTATCGAAGTCTTCCCCACCCAAAAAGGTATCTCCGTTTGTGGATTTCACTTCAAACACTCCTTTCTGGATTTCCAAAATTGAAATGTCGAAAGTACCACCTCCTAAATCATATACTGCGATGCTAAAAGAAAATATAACGCGTACAGAACGTGTTTTTCATACATTGAAGTAAAAAGAAATTTCATTAAATTAGTCAGTATGTGCTTTCAGCATGTTTAAATAATGCTAAGAGACGAAAAATAATAACATCATTCTTAATTTGATATACAGTAAACCCACATTATATATCACCGTATATCAATTTTTATAGGGATCGATGTAATGAGTATACTTTAATCTTCAAATTCATAGTGATTTTAGTAATTTTAGAGTGAAACCATCGTCACTTGTTTTTTAATGTCGAAGGATCTTCGAGGAAATTCAACTCAAAATATTGAAAGTAGAACATCTTTTAACGAAGTTACAATAGTCTAAAGATTGACAACTTTTTGACCAAGTGTTCTAATATTTGTGAATGGTGGTGTATGTCTCTTTTATGTTCATAATATAGGTAGATAAATTATGAATCGTACATTTTATCTTCTGTTTTATCCATGCCATATGCAAGAGCAGCTGCTGTCGGTTCGTTTATTACTCTAAGTACGTTAAGGCCAGCAATCTGACCAGCATCTTTTGTAGCTTGTCTTTGTGAATCATTGAAATATGCAGGTACAGTGATAACAGCATTTTTTACTGGTGTACTCAAATATGATTCAGCTGTTTCCTTCATTTTCATGAGAACGAACGCACCAATCTGACTAGGAGAGTACATTTTACCATCACCTCCTTGTACCCATGCGTCTCCATTAGAAGCTCGCACAATTTTATATGAAACAGTTTTCCTAAAATTATAAATGCAAATCTTACTTTCTACTTACATGTAAATATGAAGTATTAAGTATAGAATATACACATAATACATACATATCTTTTTTTACTTCAGCATCCTCAAATTTTCGCCCAATTAATCGCTTTGTAGCGTAAAATGTATTTGCTGAATTTGTAACTGCTTGACGCTTAGCTGGCATACCAACTAAGCGTTCGCCGTCTGCAAATTTATAAATTCTTCATGACGTTTAGATTAACATGAAGATTTCTGAATGATATTTGTATCGAAATATAAAATTGTACAAATTCATTATGTATGAAACGTCGTTAATCTTTAGATTATAACTCCAAGAAGTTCAATAATCTTTTTGGGATTATTTTGAAGGTTGAATCTTCAACTTTCACATTCTTAAGTTGAACTTCGTTGGAGATTTTTTTACATTAAGAAGTGAAGATGTTATTTTGAATCCAAATGACCCCTAAAGGTTTAAAAAATTCTATACCCATATAAAACCACCATAAATTTAAAGATTAAAGTCTTCTCTTTACAATGACTATTGTAAAATTTGGTTACGATTTTTTCCCGCCATTTTATTTTGCTCTGAACTAGGAGAATATGCATTGGACACTTACTTTATAAAGAATAATAATTAAAAAATGATGTAAATTTATTTAACTTTTAATTTTTAAATTCATAGTAATTTTAGATAGGTATAAAATTTGTTAAACTTTTAGAGGTTGTTTGAATGGAACAATTTTTATCTCAAACGAAATTGAACTTGGGAATATAAAAGAAAGTAGAAGTAACAAGTTTTAAAATAAGCCCAGGAAGATTATTGGACGATTTCATTTCTTGAAGCTATAATTGTCCAAAGATTAATAACATTTTGGCCAAGTGCCCTCGCATCTGTGATGATATTATCTATTCATATACAAATATGACTGATAATTTCTTATTATGTTAATCTTTCTAGTTTTGCTGATTGTATACACTTTAATACATGTTTCGCGAATAATAAATTAATTTCCATTGAATTAGAGTTTCTCAAATTATAGAACCCCCTGGGGTTCCACAAACTTTCTGAAGAAATGAGGAAACGTTTTAATAAACTGGCTTGACTTTTTGAAAATAAAGTCAGTATTTTTTACTTATCCTGTATGTTAACAAAATTAAATGGTTTCATATATTAGTATTTTCAAATATTTCTATATATTACCCAACATTCTAAATATATTTTAAATATATGCATAGCGAGATATAGCGCGACAAACATGTAAAACGAAACAAAGATCTGATGAGGTTGAAAGTTTGGGGCAACTGACATATTTTACGTATTATCATTTTTTATTCGATTTTCCACTTGTATTGAAATATATTTACCTAAAAGGCAGGTAATGAATCTTTTTAATGATATTAAATGAGAAAAATGAATTTATTATTAAGTATTGTTAAATAAATTCCGAGACAAATTTAAATACACCAATTTGGCAACCTATTTAAAAGTATAATACTGTGTTTACTACATGGTATGAAGTAGTATAAATCATGCATGATTAGCTTTGCATCAATATATGTATAATATAAACAATTGAATCATCGTTTATTGTTGTGTTTGTGTTTAAAATATATAGACTGCCGATGTTAATTAGATATTCTGCTGTTTCCTGGTTAGCAAGCCTCCTTTGTTATTTTATTACATTTAATATATTTTATTAATTACATTATTACTATAGGCCAACTAAAAGTCAAATTTGACGAATTTTCTTTACATTTGTGTGCGAAACACAAAGTAAAAAGTGTAAACAAATTGTAAAAGCGATTGGAAATGATTTTCTATAAACCATTAAATGTAAAATTATCCTTTGCTGTGAATATTATAAAGCGTTGTTTTTTACAATTATATTAAAAATAAAGATGGTACCAATTCAAAGATCTATTAACCGGTGGTTTGTACTAGACTGAATATTCTAGTATTCTAGAAATATTATTTTAGTGAGAATAGAAAAGTACCCTAACAAAATCAATATATTTAATACGTATCACATAAATAAAAACAATAAAATGTAAAATGTACAGTACAAAATATATACTGTACCTTTCTCCTGTAAACATGGTCAAAAAAAAGGAAAAATAGAAACATTGTAAAAATCTTACTAATGGCATATTTCTCTCATTGAAATTATTATAGAATACTTTGCACATATTTTGTCATACTTAATTTAAAATTTTTTTGTTTGAACACGATTCACACGTAACATCCCATATATTAGGATGCTTTCTTACTCGTTCTATGAATAATTTAATATCTAAAATATTATTAATCATGATTGTTGCATAATATGTTAAAACGTTTAAATTCAATTTATAGTAGTGCCCACTTAAGTGACCGCACTTTTGCCCATTTAAATTGTACTTGTATTGAGAACTATTGTATCTTATTCACATTTATCTTCATTCTTTATTTCTGTTGAATTTTGAGAACTATACCCACTTAAACGACCGTGGCCGGTCCCGAGTGTGGACAATTACTTAAGTGGGCACTGCTGTATTATGATCATGTATGTCATTGTGCAATCATTGTGATCTTGCAATGTTACTGTTACTGTACATTTCATACTTGACCCCTTCCCGTACTTTATCAAGTCTAACTCGTGATGAAGATTTTGGCCTAAACATGAATATCACGAGCCAGACTCGTGAACAGAAAGTTGACCCAAACGTAAACATCACGAGCTAAGCTCGTGGACAGCAAATCACGATCGTGATCGAGTTTTAGTCAATATCAGTATGCCACAAGAGTTGGTCACGATTCTTATAATTTCTGTTACAAAGCAGTTTAGCATCAGTCTGGTCTGTTTACTGCGCATTGACGCCTATGGTTTGGGCCCGGATTTCGTCGAGCTAAATGCCGCAGGAAGGGGTTAAAATTATAAATTTGTCGAATTATATGTTTGAAAACGTGATTCTGCAGAAATGTGCAATCATTACTGTTACATCTCTGAAACAGGATGTAACCCTTTAGCACCTAGCCGTTTTAGTGCCAGGAGTTTTTAAAAATCCGTGTCGGATTGTACCATGCAGCACGATAGCGTTTCGATCGACGCGATTGCACTGCTTCTTTTTGCATCGAAATATGCCAGTCATATCAGCAACGTTATACTAAACACTGAAAAGTTTGCGATTGTAACCAAACATCGCAGCACATTTTAGCACATAATGCGAACAGCACGATCGTGCTGTGTGGTGCTAAAACAGCTAGTCTTATAGGCGCTAACAGAAAATGAAAACATTAACATACCATTTTATAATCATTACTGATTAAAACCAATGTTGACTGAGGTGTAATAAAGCATTAATACTTTTGTGGTACCACAAATACAATAAGCAGACAATTTAATTTTGTAAACTACTCATGCACAACACTACTCACTAACCTTTACTAAACGCCACAAAAGATGGTGTTGTTCGCGAACCCTCTGCATTTTCTATTACTTTTGCTTGTTTCCCTTCCATAACCGCTACACATGAAAATGTAGTACCGAGATCAATTCCAATAACCGCACCTTTTACACCTTCAGATCTATATAAATAAATATTAAGACATCATTGACATGCATTTAAAATATAAATATGTAACAGAGGATGTAAAATGTACAAAGTACAATATAATTTTCATTTACTTGTGTCGATATTGATGAAGATCTGTAAATCGTTGAGGTGTAATATAGGCAGGAGCTGCAACCTAAACAATATTTAATATTGTAAGTACTTCTATAAATACTGATATAAATTAGGAAATGGATTCTACTTAAAAAATGTATAAAAATAAACGCAAAAAACACGATGCAATTTACGAGGCTATATCGAACTAATTTTTGCAAATTTTTATTAAAATGTATGACAGATGCAAGTGAGATGTATATTAACGAAATTATATTTCCCTACAACATATAGTTTCAAAGATTTAAGATATAATTTAAGCAGATCACGTGCCGGCTATGAACTTTAATGTTTCGCGGCGTTGTGATAAAAAAGTATCCAAAGTAATGCTAAATATGCATAAAAACAGATAAACGATACAAAGCAAGTTTAATAGAATGTTACATAAAACAGCGAACGAGTTTAAATATTGTACGAATTGTATGCGATCAAGAAACGCGTGTTGGAAAGTTACGTACAACGCATTGTGAATCGCCATTGAAAACTTACATTTTTAAGAATTGTGCTAAATTGTTGTCTCCTAGCAATATCGCAAGTGACATTGCTACAGCTTCGAGTGAACAATTTTGCGGCGGTTAGCATTTTGATTATTTACGCGTTATATCGATTCAATTTCACCAAAAAGTTTTAGAAGAGATGCGGATACTCTAACTTCACGTGTAGTGATGCAACGTTCACAGAGATTATAATGCGCATACCGTGCGCGCATGAAGAATATTTCCACTCCGCGTGCCGACATACGTAATTGCGTTCCACCAATGAGAGCTTCAGTCTCGAGGAAACAGTCAATCAACGCGCTGCGCGGTCGTCTTGTCTCCGGAGAACTCGAGAATTATCTCGAATGTTGTATTATAGAACAGATATCTCATTTGCCGAACAAACTTATTGGAAAAGTAGTGAAATCCAATAAAACAGTAATTTAATTTTTCGCCTCTCAATTTGGACAGTAATTTAATATAATCTGAAATAGAAATTATTATTGCTGATAGTAAAGATAGCGGAAAATAGACTCTCAACGAATAGAGTCGTATGCTAGGAGTGTTACGTACATTAGATATCCGGAATCCAAAAATTTAACTAAGCTTGTGTAGTCATTCGGAAGGAGGATTTGCTAAAACCCTGTTTTGAGATATTTGAATTTCAAACTTTTCTTTGTTTATGGAAGCTTCCAGAGAAATCATCAGAAAAGCTCTTCTTCCCGATTACTCAATTGTTCCTGCTATTATGAAATTGGCGTAAGTTATATGTATATGTTTCATTTATAGATGTTCAGATTTTCTTGGGGAACAAAATATTTCGTAAAATACACAATCTTCTAATGTGGAATTTATATATTGAATTTATATATTGTAATAACTTTCTCGAAAGTGTGTTTGAAAAATACTTAAGTAATGGGTTTTATTAAGAAAATAAGTTAAAACAAATAGATTTATTTATATATGTTACATATGTATATTTTAATTTTGTATAATGAGTTACTAATCATTTTCAGTTCAGGACACTTTGAAGGCCTTAAAATATTTATGATAAATTGGTAGAATGTAGATTCATTATGTTTTTATACAATTTTTTTTGTTTCATTGTAAATTTCAATATAATTTAGGTTTATAGGGAATTATTAAACATTTATTTTTGTTATGTACGTAGCATTAAACAATATTAATATAGTCCTCCTAGTGTTTTAAAATGACGGTAGCTATTAGGTTATAACACAGACGAGGTATACATCGTCTGTGGTTATAATAAGTCCGTCAATTACCCTCACAGTAGACCACATCCTATACCAGTGCAGAAGAACCGAACCCCAAAGACAGAAATATGGGATAAAACCGGACACAGCCCTTACAGCTCAGGCCCACATAAGTGACACTCTAAAATTTCTCAAAGAAACAAATATGTATAATCAAATATAGCGCGCAAACACGCATCCGCCGCCAATGACCTCGCAGTCGACGCGGCGTAAAAAAACACAAAGAAGAAGAAGAGAAGAAGAAGAAGTCCGTCAATTATCGTCAATAACCGTAGATCGTCGGTTATTCTTATTTGTGAGTTCAGATTCTATTATTGACTGGGCGTTATCTTCGAACGAAAACAACATTGTTGTTACATTATTTTTTATTCGGGTTAATATTAGCTCTATAAAATTGAATCAATTATTAGCTCGTCGAACAAATTTGAAACTCGTGTTATTTAATAATTTATTAAATAAACTTTTTTCGAAGTTGGGTAAAATAGAAGAACTTAAAGATCAAGACGTGTTAAATATCTCCATAAATAAACACAAGGACTTTGTAAAAAAATGAAAACGTTCGTAATTTAAAGAAATTATTATTACAGGCATTATAAACATACAAAAATGTTAAATATAAAAGTATAAAGGAAGACACACCTATTGTTTATAGTAACAAATTTCTACGATGCAAATACAAATTCGAAAATTCTTTCTATGAAGATAATAGATAGCAGTTTGATTAACAATTTATACGTTTTATTTAGAAGTACTTTGCACTGCTAATTTTAATTTACCACTTAACGTTAGTAGTTTATTTATTAAAAAATTGTAATTTAACACTTATATTAACAATAAATCATGTTGGGATGTATAAAAAATATAATTTGTTTTACAATGAAGACAAATATTTTACATTGTTAAATATAGTGCAGTACTTATTGCAATTTTCCTACTGCAAGGAACAAAGTTTAACATAAACTTTCATGTCTTCACCTAACAACAGTTAAAAATAACATTTGTTATGTACAGTTAAGTATACATAGTTATACAGTTAAGTGTAACTCGGATAAAAGTTACGAAGTGTTCTTTTCCTTCCACGATGAAAAATTGGGCGATCCGATCAAGTGTATGGAGCAATTTGTCATATCGTTTCTGTAAAGTCAAAAATTCGTTCATTTCTTCTGTTCGTCGAGTATTCATTGCCAGTACATTCGGTTTAATAACCAATTTAGAACTTACAAGAAACGATCTTTCAGAAGAAACGCTCTTGGTTGCACTAAGTTCAGTCTGTCGCCATTGTAGCACAAAATTTGCGACATCGTAATTTTCCTTATTTCTTCTAATTGATCCAGGGAAAACGAACCTGGACTATTTGCATTTTCGTACCAATACCTGTCGCCTGTATAACATATTAATTATTGTATCGACGAATTAGATCAAATTGTCACTGAATAATTTCACGTATTTTTCTGTTCGTTTTTATTTAAGTTTTTATAAATTTCTTTTACCTAGACGGAGATTTCGAAACGTACGGCCCAATAAACAAAGAAATGTTGGTCCCAGAACCGAGTCCCACACGGGTGCTTCCGAGAGTGCTCCTGTTACCAGATCTATGTCCTGCACATTTCTATACATTGAAAACCATGTAAATAGTAAGTTATCACGATCAACGTTATATATAAATGTAATAATACATTAATCCTTAAATCGAGATAAATATTAAAATCGCTCGGTAACCCGCGTACCTGGATCATAATTTTAAGAAAATTTAATTTCATCGCTAACATGTTATGTAAAAACGGTCTATGTTAATCTGCAGTGAACAATATATTCTCTAAAATTTATAAAACAAAAAGCTAAACTATTCAATTATGCATACCTATAAGTTTCGATTTAAGGAATCAATGTATCGTAATGTTAATTTGTTAATCAACGATTACTAGGTATTATTGTAAATTTGCTCTCACTTGTAAACTGCTCGAAGCCTATTCGTGGTGTCTTTGGTCATCGATCCCCTGAGATCTTCAAAATTATTGATCTCCGGTAAATCGCAAAATGTTCGCCATCTGACGTAAGGTGGCAAACCGTGATCCCTTCCTTGCTGTATAATTTGCGCGGCGTAATCCACGGCGATATCGTTGCTTTTTCCATCGTGGAAGTATCGTTCCAACAGAATTTCATTCAATCCTGGCGGTAAAGGCTTCCTAGAATGTCCCGCTGTCACGGAAATTAAATCTTGCATCCTAGATCGCCATTAAAATCAAGTTCTCATGGGACAACGTGTCGGTAGATCGTAGTAATGTTCGACAAAACTTAATTTCGAATCTATTTTTTCATTAAGCTTCGTTCAATTAACGTAATCTGCATTTAAACATCCTAACACTTAAATGGCGAGCCTAAACGATCAGTTTTCAATTGCACTTCTTCGATCGAAGAAGTTCAGAAACCGAAACAGGTTCTTCAAAGCTGCTGTTTCGTTCAATTAACGTAATCTGCATTTAAACATCCTAACACTTAAATGGCGAGCCTAAACGATCAGTTTCCAATTGCACTTCTTCGATCGAAGAAGTTCAGAAATCGAAACAGGTTCTTCAAAGCTGCTGTACACGTTGGTTTAACAACTTTTGCGAACAATATATGCATTTCAATAAATACACTGACATAAATCGAACTGTAATACTAATGCAGTGTTCGCGTATTTATTTGAAATCTTGAATAAATAAATAAATCAATTTATATTGGGCGATAAATGTTAGAATATCCTTAGCAATGAAGGTAGAAAATTCGCATTTCTGGACGAGAAAAGTCTACGTTTGCTTCTACGTAAGATGAAAGTTCATAATCATACAGTCAGAAATTGATTAGACTCGACCGTCCGTTGCCTTAAAATCTCCAGTAATGGTAATTTATATTTAATAAAATTGTACTCGTGTTATGAAATGTCTGCCTGCGGATTGAATCGTGTGGCAATATGATAATTATCGGTCACTTGCCGCGCGATCCGTTAGATCTTACGAAACGCGCGTCTGAGGATGATTTTCACCAAAAATCCATTTACCGGTAATTTCAACTGACCTGTAGCACCGGAGATCAGACGATCAATAGCACCGGCTTCATAAAACTCCTGGGGAGCGTAGAAGGCCGATAGTAAGGACCTTTCTCCAGACTTTAACGCCGATCGTGAGTCAACCAGGTCGAGGGTTTTTGGGGTCAGCGCGGCAATGAAGAAGAGTCCAGCGGACGCAACAGCGTTCGAAAGTGTCGCATCTGTCCGGGTATCGTAGCCACGGTAGTAACCTCTTTGTAACAAGCGCAATTGATACCTAAGAATACATCGTTATATACGATAATTACAAATACAAAACCTGAACGCACCGTTTAAAGCGTTCAGAGTATAGTCTAACGTAGAAATGATATGTTTCGTTAGATTATCTGAAAAATCGAGGTCGAATAAAAATCATAGCGTATTAGTTTTTGCAATCTGTTTAACCGTAAAGTAAATTATGACGCGAAAGAGAGTGGACGTACTTGTTGAGGCTCGTTTCGCCGAGAACAACGGGCAGAAACTCGTTATAAGTTATATGCTCCATTTCCGCGATAACGATCCTTCTTGCTTCCTGGTAGAGTCTCTCGTCGTCCCAGTGAGGATTCAGTTGTCCCAGCTGTGTAGCGACTCGGTTATGTTCCCGTAGAAAAAGTACGTGCATTAGAGTGAGACCGGGGTTCTCGTTTACCCGTGAATCCCCGCTAAGAAAACACGGGAAAGCTTTGTTCGCGCTTCTGCAACTTTCGTACTTGGGCGAAGGCATGGGCAAATTCTTCCTCTGCGTATTAAGCAACCCGCCCTTCCCGGATCGCAGGGCTTTCGCTATGTCCTCCGAACTCCCGTAAACCGGGGAAAGGTCTAAGTACGACGATGCTTGGTTGATCTGCTGTCTAGGACCCAATTTGCAGCCCTGAGACAGAAAATTCCTCTATACGCTCGTTGAAACAATGATGAAACACTCTTTGTTATTTCAGAAGACTATTTTGGACCTGAGGGGCAACGAAAGGTTCTAACGAGTCCAATAATTTTCGAAGAGAAACGAAGGCTTTAAATTGTTATATTTTATACAATATTGGAGCCTGGAATTATCGACAAAGAAAAGCGTTTCTATTACCTGTAGCGAATTGCCAGGGTGTGGAGCGGATCTCGAGTACTCCATGCACCCTATAGCATTGTCAGCCCTTATGGGAAAACATTCGGGATGAAAGTGTTCGTAGTCCACGTCGCAGCACTTCAATTTAGTACCGTCTGGCAGTTCCATCTTAGGCGTGTGGGCCAGATCGTGAATGAGAAACTGACCGAACAGCGCTGTCAGGGCCATCAAATAGGGATGTTTGAGATCCAATCCGCCGGAATGAACTCTCGAGGAGACGTCTCTGGCGCTAGGTAAATCTGTTCGTGGCAGAGAGACCCCGTCCACGTATTCCGGCGGTAGGAATCTCACGTAAGCCTCCAGAGCGGCGCCCCAAGATGGATGCAACCCATTATTGCATTTTCCGGTGTGCGTTCTGTAGCGTGCATCGACCCCTCTGCAAGTGGTCATTACTTGCAAAAAGCTGGACGACTCGGGACAGTTGATGGCCGCCACGGAAGGCAGGACGGAGGATGCCTCTTTCGAGGACATGTTTAAGGCCTCCACCAACATGGCGGCCATTGTTTCGATTCGTAGAGCCTTCCTCGATAGATTTTGCGCGTGCTCGGTCATCGCGTGGGACGCGCTCAGGAACCACGACGGTGAACCATAAGTTAGACGCGTTTGCGAGTTCAGAATCGCCCGTTCTGCTTCGTGGTACTTCTCCATGGAAACGTTCGTTCGTCTGTTAAGGTCCAGTAACATGTTCGACGGCAATGTTGTACTTTCTACGAGCGCGAACAGCGCGAGGAATCTGCGAATCGGAATCTGAGGATAGGAATTACAGACTTGCTCTGCTAGAAGCAGTACTGTAGAGTCTACAGTATCGTACGAACGTGTTATTATTCAGAGTTGGACAAATTTTATTCACTCGTGGGCTAGGTTTTGCCCGCGGTTTCGTTAAACTGGTTTTCGGTTTAATAGATCAGGAATTGCGGATGAATTCATGAACGAAACGGAAACGAAAGTTGCATTACGAATAAATTGAAGGTTTACATTCGTTATTCGTAAATAAAGTTTGCTCAACTCCGCTATCACCCATAGTCACAAAATTATTCTGAGTAGGCGATGTCGGATGTTATTGTTTGTTTTTAATTTTGTATTCGTTTCATTTTATTTTTAGTAATTCAATCAAATCGAATGGTCCTTGTTGTTCCATATTACATAAAAATTCCCTCAATTAAAATTTCGAAAATGTGTGTTGGGGAATTTGAAAATGTCGATGCACGTATGTGGAAAGTCTAATGGCAATGGCAGACCTTTAAGGAACAATTGTGTGAGAACAGAGAGGACTTGCTCAATAGTAAATAACGAGAATATTGCGGCAATTCTAGATCCTTCTGTAGGAATCTCGTGAGAATACGGGATTCATCAATTATACGTAATAAAGTTGAAAATAATTCTCTACTTACTAAATACCTCAGCATCGTTATCGCGAGAATGGTGAGGAGTTTTTAAATTTAAACGTTCAAAAGCTATACAAATTTCAGGGAACGTTGTTTTAACAAATAAAAAGTATCCAATGTCTCTAGGAAAAATTTATAGAGTTTAAGGCATTGCAGAAACCTTGAGTATTTACAGCGTGAGATTTACGATTTTAGTTTGCTATGGCAATGTTGCGTCTTCCAGTGAACTCATGAGAAATCTGCAACTTCTACCACACAGTGGTTGCACCTTGACGTTACTTAATAATTGGCATGTTAATTGAATACTTGTTTTGTTATCCAGCATGACAATGATGCGATAGGATCGACAATTAAAAATACAATTGCGGAGTTGGGCGCATTTGGATTACAAGTTCTCGTCGTTTCCACATCCGCATTGCAAATGAAACCTTTTCACATGATAGGGGCATGGGTACAAGAAGATTCGCATGATTTCTCCGTAAATTAGCCCCCTTATTAGCAAAAAATGGATCAGAATGCATCGCGTGTCTCGTTTCAACACTCGGCGAAATAATCGCGATGAATCTTAGAGACCTTGTCTGCAAGATGACATTTCCTTTCGTTTTAGATCATTGTTCGTACTTATCATACTAAATTCATCGATTCGCGTACAGCGTCGAGCAAAAGTAAATCAGAAACGGAGAAAGTAAATAGCAATTTACGTAGATTTTAATATTCAAACTTTGCCTCTGTATTTTTTTCAGCCGTTTATTCCACAAATATTAATAAATTCCTCCCAAAGATCTAACTTTGAATTCACCAATTATCTGAAAGATATAACGGGTTTAATTTAGATTCGTCGAAAAATAGTCGGTCATTTGAAACATTAAGACAGTAGTTTAGAAGATTTGATAAAACTTTTGTTTTTAATTTACCCGCAATTTACTGTGTTGAAACTTTTGTTCGACGCTATACGTGTATCAGGCAGATCTCTCAACTATTTAATGAATAGTTAGTTTTCGGGTCGTAGCAGCTTGGTAGTCTGATGGAACGAATTCATGCGACCTTAAGAGACCGAAGAACTCGCTGTTTGACATTTAGGCTCCTTCCTGGTTCTTTTGTGATTCCCTTACGCAATCGAGTCTGTTCCCATGATTAGTGTTTATGTAAATTGATGGAAACCAGTACGCGCAGAAGTGATTCGATCTTTCTTTATTTGACCACAGCGATTAGAAGTTAACTTTTCTCCATTCCAGCCGTATTGAAAAGAAATAACATAAGCGTAATATATTTTGAAATTTCATAGGGATACGGTACTCGTTAGCTAAGTATTTCGATCTTTTTCTAAAAATCTTAAATCGTTTCAAATATATTGTTTTGAAACTGATTATTCTGCTACATTAAAATACAATTTTTCTTTTAATTAGAATTTTATTATTCATATCATTACATCAATAAAATTCAACATAAATTGTTGAAGAATTGATCCTATCGTGGTAAATGTAATCAGGTTGCATTTTTGGAAACTTTGGGCAAATTTAATTCTCAAATAACGAATAAAAATTCACTCTTAAATTAGCTTCTGCCCGAGACTTTGCTAGCCTGAACATTTTTTAACACATTATAACGTATAAACGAATTTGTACAAGAAAAGTCCAGTTAAAATAAAAATAGTTTATTTAACTTTCTCGAGGAAATGACAATAATGAAAGAAACTTGCCGTTAATAATCACATAAATAGAAGTTATAAAGGTTTGAGGGAAAAATCGGGGGTGTTTATTGTTTATCATAAAATGGTATCTTTGAAAAGTTGCTTGAAATTCCGTTGCAAAACTTGGCCGAAACTTATGAGATGACCTCGCAATTTCGATTTAAAATTTATATTAATCATTCGCGAATACAATTTGCCCAAATCTGTAAATCAAAGATAAATCTTTCGGAATGAAAGCGGAAGCACTCACCGCGACAGGAAGGCAATTATATTGTGGACCGGTCTCCGTTTCGCGCACACCGACATTTTTCCAAAAGTTTCGCGTGCCCCTGTACTACAGCGATCGGGCCAACGAGTTAATGCACGATAGAATTCATTTGCGGCGTCGTGTTTCGTAAGAGTCGCGCACCGGGTATGTTCGAGAACAGGCAAATCTGAACTGAGACTGATCCTCGAACGAAAGTAAAACCTGAGCACGTCCGGTCGGTTTAAAGAGTGGGGTTCGGTAAGGTTCACTGTAATATAGGGTGTCAACAACGCACGCTGTGTCGACGGGCAACACACTTAGTTAGATGCACAGTAAAAGTGCATCGTTGCTGCAGTCGGATTGGTATTATGAACGAGACCAAGGTTCGCCTTTCATAGACTCTGTTATCCGTAGTCGCGGTTGGACGTACGGTTTCAAGGCTCCACAGTGCACTCGCACTATGTGTATACACACTGTATGTTTTTATACAGTATTCAAAATAATTCTAAATATGTACATAAAATAGTAAGATACGAGATCCATGATAACGACAAATGTTTTACATATGTATACAACACACAAACAAAACGACAATTTGATTTTATCTGAGTAAATAAACATGAGCAAATGTGAAATGCATATTTAGTTAATTACGATTTTTTGGAAGGTTTACAGCAGAATATCAATTTATCAATTTCAGTAAATAAATATGTATTTTAGACGTTCTTACTGAAGAATAGAAAACCTACCCCCTAACCTTTCGAGTGCTATGTCTGTACTATTTACCAATCCACAAGCCTTCGTCAGTTGTTAACGCTTAAAAAAATACAAATTATGTGCATTATGTTTGCTTCGACTTACGTCAGCCAGTCTGGGATTAATTAGTATGTAAGTTCGGGGTACGACTGTAACAGAATGAATCGAAACCTCGGAATTTCCAACCAGGTAAAAATCAGTATTATTTTGTTACCGTTATCTTGATTCCACTATCTGCATAGATAACGATGAACTGAAGACTCGTCTGTATAATCTTTAATAACTCCTCTCACTCTTACCCAAATATAGTATAAGTACCCCCTTCCGAAGGTATCGAGCAAAGAGCATCCTGGAAGGAGTATTTGACTTTAGAATTTCATTGGACAATTAGTTTAATTAAATATCGATATATTCTTGGGATATCAATACTAAAGTTATATTTACACCTAAACAGACAATTCTCTGACTAATTAGAAACGATCATAAAAACTACTAATTATCGTGAAAAATCACCATGATTCACAAGTAGCAGTTTCTAACCATCTCTGATTAAATATCAAATACCTAGAAATCGATATATTGTTGAGATATCAAAACTAGAGTTGGTATCAATGCTTCCATCGAGTTCAAATAGGTATCGATTATTTCGATACTCGTTTCTTTGCCGCGCTTCGATACTAGATCGAAATGTACGAATTGATATTTTAACACAATGTGCCAATACATACTTCGTATTGAGAATTTTGGTAATAAATTGATTGAATACGATCAATCGTTACCTTTTCTAAAACAATGCTGCACTAAATGTTGCAAATGTTTGGTTCGATGTTCTAGATTCAAAGGCATGGGAAAGACGACCGAGAAGAGCATCATCGACTAAGAGATTAAAGAAAACTTTTGGGATGACCTACTAAGTAACATTCATGAAATTCATCGTCGGCTATGGATTGGAATTCTCAGACAACATGACGATCGATTACGCCTACAATCTTGCTCCAAGGATCTGTCAAAGTTATGTGAGTATTCACGCGTGGGAAGACTGGTTTGAAACACTAGTTTTCGAACATTAGCCTCCACGTATGCAATAAATTATTAACGTTAGTTCTATTAATTCGGTAACTAGATTACTATTAAGTATAGAGTACTATTGCTAAACAATCTGAAATTTCGTCAAACGTTAAACCATACGTTTGTAGTGAAATTTTTTAAACGATATTTAACTATCATTTTTTTTAGCAATTATAAGATTTACTAAATGTGACCTCTGATTGAATATCGATTCTCACTCTCACATAAATTATCTAAAAATCTAAATTCTACACTTTAGGATCGTGGGTTCTAAAACTACTTAAAAGAAATTATATCAGGCCTTGAGCACTTTTATTTTCGCACTACGCGCCATCGTTTACATCTTTTATCTTCCACTGGTTCTCTTTTTCCATAGTACTTATTTAAATTGTATTAAAATTATCTATAATCGCGTTTATATCAGCACGAATATATTTATTGCTTAAATTATACAATTCTGTTCTACGAGCGAATATCGTCCGTATTATCGAGAACGGCTCCGCTGTAAGCTAAGTCCCAGTAGTGTTCAACCTGGTGCTTCTTGAAGTGCTCTCGCGCCATTTTCTCGATTGGGCAAACTTTGAATTTGATTTCTCCGAAATGACGTTGTTTGCTAGTACCCTCCCACACAGGAACACATTTGTTCGGCACGTCGTTTCCGTCGTTGTCTTTCACAATGTCTTCCTCCCATTTAATGCGATGCATCATTAATCTCTTATATTTACTCAATTGTTTTGCTCCCCCCTCTACTACAACCACGTTGCAATCGCGAAAGAGCATCACGCAGCCCGTGAGGTAAAGTTGCTTTGCGTTTGTTTCCACTTTAAACTTCTTCGAAGCATTATTTAGGAGATCGCGTATTCTACGCAAAGAATATTAAGCATTAGTACCCTGTGCTTTGTATAATATGAAATTATAACACATCATTATCTATTTTACCTATAAACGGACACATGTACTCCCAGAGTAGTGTCTTCCTTAAGTTTCCTCGCCTTTTTCTCCCGCCTCTGATCTGCTGTGAGACGTCTAGCTGCGTTAGCGTCTTCGTGTGCCTTTAACCTTTTAGCCATTTGTTGTCGCACGTGGGCTTCTATTTTCGTAGGGTCTTGGACGGCTTCTGTACCTAACACTCTCATAAGATTCGAAATTCGCAATTTCGGTTCCGGCGGCGGTTCGAGGCCTAATCGAATTTTTTCTTGCTCTTCTTTCCATGCCTCCCGTCTGTTTTGTCTGCGTAATTTTTTGCGTTCCTTTTTCGTCAGAAATACGGGCATATATATCGGCTTTAACGGATCGGCTAGAATAATAAGAAATAATTCAGTTCCGAGGCGACCGTCGACTAGATAAGACGCGTTCAAGTATTCATCAGTACAGACAAGTTAGAGAGTTCTATCAAATAATACATACTTGGTGGACGCATCTGCGTGGGATGTTCCACGAGATTAGTGATGGTAGAATTTTTTATCATTGTAAGCTCATCCTCGTTCGGGTATCCCCCTGTTAGTATAACGGAGTCCCACCACTCTACATTAGGCACATCTTCGCTGAGAGCTTCGGTTTTAGGTGCTATGAGCGCTAGTTTAGTTGCCGAACTTATCCCAGTTTTTCTAGCAATTTGACTAATTTCATTTTGTAATTTTTCTAACTGAGCTTTCATGCGAATTCTTTCAGCCAACTGCTGAAACTTCCCCGGCTCGTGGAACTTTAATGTGCGTTTACCACGGACCGCCGGCTTTACACCTATCCTAGTATCGAAAAAGTGTGTGTCCTGAATTTCTTCCGGACCCTTGGATTCTTGCAACTGTGCTTTAAACTCCTCCCGTTTTTTCGCTCGGATATTGGCTTTCAATGTTGGCACTACTTGGGTAAGTTGTACCTCTTTACCAGTTATATCTACCGTTCTACCGGATTCATCCAAAATTAATGGAGTTGGTTTGTCAGGTACACTGACATTCCCTAGTAGCCCTGAGCTTAATTTACTTCTGATTTGAGCTTGCAAAGCAGCAATCTTTCGTGCTTTATCGGAATCCGTTTTACTCAATAAACCCTGATTATACATGCTCCCGACCGTAGGCAACGAATCCCGCGATTTAAGCAATGGTTTCGCCGGTTGCACTTCTTCCTGTTTTATAGCTTTTAGTGCCCTTTTCCTTTCTTCAATTTCTCTTTGGGCATTAGCCATCATTTGTCGTATCTGTAAGAAAACAGTATTATGGAAGCTAGTAAAATAATTAGTCACTCTTACAGATCAGATACCTTGTCTGCAGATAGTTGCGCTTCCGTTGTTTTTTCATTTTTTACTTCATCGTCTTTAAATCTGGGTTTCTTCGCATCTTTGTCTTTATCTTTGTCCTCCATGTGACTCCGCTTCTTACTTTTTTGCGCTGCTTTAGCATCATCGTAGATTGCAAATATTTTTTCTGTTAGTTTTGAAGCCTTTTTGTCTTCCAATAAAGCAGACAGCTTATCTGCAGAAACATAAGTTACATATTTTTACACTATCTTCTATGGATATAAATAAAAAAAATTTATTCTCAAACAGTATATAGCTCTATAGTATTTTAAAGCATAAAAGTAATCTTACAGGGGAAGCTACTTTGGTATAGTCTTTGAGGAATAGTGTATAATATAATATCTCTTTTATGTTTTGTATTTTTGTCATAACTTTTTGGTGGAGCTTTAAAAGACCTATATTTATATAATGTTTCTTTCTTATTAATATCCACAGAATATACTGACAAAGTTTGGCTATTCTACCATGCTTTGAAACAGTCTTTTTTAAGCAATTATTTTTTAAAAATCCAGTTGATAGAGTAATGGCATTATAAACTATTACTAACCTGCAGTTTTACGTTTATCGTACCCAGAAGTAATGCAATTGACAGCCGTGGTAACAATAGCAGGTTCCCCAAAACCAAGAAACTTGTGAACCGCTTTTTCAATTTGCGGTTTCATTTCATCTATTTCTTTTTTCGTTAAATATGCCATTTCTCTGAGTCTGTTACAGACAATAAATTCGTTCGAAATCACGTAAACTTGATAGAAAATAGTTTACTTTACAACATAACCTCTACAAATTATAAGGTTAAATATCACATTTCAGTCACACTTCTATTTAGGTACAATTGTTTTATATTTCGCAAAGTACCGAACACTTAGGTAGTTTCGAAAGGATTGTCATGATATTTCTTTACGGTTCACTGCTTTTTCCCAAATCAAATATCGGCAAATATACTCTGATATTGTCGACATCACATTGTAACACCGTAATTGTTATTTTAGTTACTGTCAATTATTTACTAGATTTTTCACTATGGAAGTACCAACTTTTCTAGTGCGGATCAATTTTACTAAACGAAAAAAAGGGATAAATTATTCTTGGGTTGCACAAATCTAGGAACATTTAAGGGACTAGTTTTATCACTAGGCCACTAGATAACTAGATTATAAACCCTAGGACATTTCAAATAGCACAATATTAAATATTTAAAGACGAATAGATAAAATAATTTTATAATATGAAAATATTATTTCTCGTACTTTTTTATAAATATTAAGTTCAAAATTGATTTTCTTCTAAATTCTATATAAATACTACTTTTTTTAAAAGATAGAAAAGATAATTTTTATTTTGTTAAAACAGATATTTTTATTATTAATATTTCTTCATACTGTAAATGATAATTGAACAGTAAGTAAATACTAGTAATAGGGAATTTGTTATTATAATATGACAGTCACAGTTTGTTGTTTTTATTATAAAATGCATGTAAAAATTTAATGATGTAAAATATTCATATTGTCATACCAAGTATTTGAAAGAAAAGAAGTAGTACACTTTTCTTCCATAAATAGATTTTCATAAATGTAATAGGTATTTTGAATTATTTAGATTAAAATATTATATAAAATATTCTACTGTTTTGTTGAATTTTAAGATTTTAAAGATTGCATATTAGATAAAAAATATACAAGAAATTTGATTTCCTATTTACAATTTTTTCTTTTTGCAAGTACATATAAATAAAATATCATCATCGGACATTTTCTAGCTTTTAAAACGTAGACTTCAAATGATAAGTATAAATTTAAATAAATACAAGTATGACAATAGAGAAATAAAGTATAAAAATTCCTTATTTTACTACATTATTAATGGATGATAATTAATGCGACGTATGAACCTTTTGAAATGAACAAATGCTTCTGTGGAAACTTCTGAAAGTAGCTCTTTAAACAGTGAACATCTGTTGCTACAGAGTACAACAGAAATTCCTGGGAGGTCACCTGTGCGTAATAAATCTAGTTTTACGTAAAGTTCTGCGATAGTAACTTCAGATGAAAACAACGATGCAAATCCGCAAACTAGCACAAGCGAATGATCATTCTAAAAATTCTCTGACGCATCAAGAGTGTAAAATATACATTTATAGTAAAAATCTTATTAGAATTACATACAGGGTGTTCGGCCACTCCTATCCAAAATCAATTATTAAAAAATTAAATTAAAAAATTTCAAATCATTTTGAAAAAATAATTCTTGGTTACGGGGGTCAATTACAATCATTTTTGGTGAATAGACATACCCCCGAAATCCTACGCACTTTCGTGAAAAAAATCCAATAGGTGGACAAATTTTTCGATAAAATTAGAAAATTTCAAATCGTTCGAGAAAAATTATTTTCGGTTGCAGGGGTTAATTGCAATCGTTTTTCGTGAATAGACATACCCCCAAAATCCTACCCATTTTCTAGAAAATAATTCGAGAAGGTGTGAAATTTTTTGACAAAATTAAACAATTTCAAATCGTTCTGGAAAAATTATTTTCGGTTGCAGGGGTCAATTACAATCGTTTTTGGTGAATAGACATACCCCCGAATTCCTGCGCATTTTTGAGAAAAAAATTCAGTACGGGCGGAACTTTAAACGTTAATAACTTTTTAACAAAGCAGCCATCAAGAAATTGGTATTCTTGATTTTCGTCTTATTTTGGCCTTTAGATAACCTGTATATAATAATTTTGAAAATATGGAATGTATTCATATAAAATTAATTTTCGTCTACGTTTACGGAGAAAAAAATATCAATCTATTCGTTTAGAAATTTCATTACTTAATACATTACAAATAAATATAAAAATTGTAGATTCATTTAATGTATTTGGTTATACTATATTTCTACTTTGTTAAAAATATCGTTACGATGAATACTATGATTTAAATAATTTTTATTCTTCTTTGACTAACTGTACGGATATGGCACCTTCGTATTTATTAGTTTTCTAATGTAAAGGAACATAAATGTAAATATAGAACAGCTCTTTTGTCAAATCTAATATAATTTTAATTCTGTGACGTTTCGAAGGGGAATGAAGTTACAGTGACGCTGACAATAAATCATGTTAAGTTTGAGGCGAGTTCGATAAGACTTACGATGCGACGTAAACTTGTTTGAACAAAATATATGAAGGTGTAAGGGACGAAAGCAGTTGTGGGGCTAGCAGAATAGCAGTGGACCGATAACCGCAAATGAGAATGGTACAGGAAACTACCCTGTTCCACGCTTCCCTGGTGACCGATGAGGCCAATTCAACGAACCACATTTGCTTCATTTGAAGCTGTTGTTCTAAACTTTTCTGTTAATTGAAACGAAGAAATTGGAATACTTCTAGCGGTTATTTTAGGATAACTGGTTCGAGTCTTGCAAAAACTGTGCCAGAATTGTGGTGTGAGAATTCCTAGAAATCGTGCTACCTCCGATGTTTTAATGGACTTAAGGAAGCTTCCTTGGCCCGTATTACATAAAGCGGATTGATAACTTCATTCATAAGCCATGTTGTTTTCATCAGTCAAAGAGAATATCTTCTGTTCGAAGCATTCTACAGAGCCAATATTAAATTAAATTGTAGTTGCTTCAATGAAATAAGTATTTTTGACACTGTGTGTGAAGACAGGGCTTGCCAAGGTTGTCTTGCTACTATTTAGCGGCTAAAAGATATCAAATAGAATCTATTACATACGAGTTTAAAGCTTCAAGACAGTTGAAACGAATAAGATCGATAGGTTGACAATTGTCTTAAAACGAGATGGCCGGGAAAAACTCGGTTACCGAGATATTAGATTCTGCCTAATAAATTACAAATTGCCTTTTATCAAAAGTAATACTTCCACTTTTTTCGATCATGTTAAACTAGCACTAACTGGCATAAAATGGTATTTAAATAGTTTATTAACGAAACGAATTTATTTCGAAGTTCCAATTGTTTACTAAAATGCTTAGATTTCAAAACGTAAACAAGTGTCTAAGTATTAATGCGATAACGCGATTTTTTCTATAATTTATTACACAACCAAATGTTATTGTTACCAAGAAATTGTTTGTGTACTTTCGAGCTACAATTAATGATTAATATTTTCGTAAAAATATGTATTGTACACAAAGCAACAAATACTTCGAATAACTATTAATATTGAAAGTGTTGATTAGAGTAGTTGACCTATCCAAGAAACCGACACATTTGTCACAATGAGACACGATTAGGTGTGTTCTGTTAATCTAATTGTTGACCAGTATTTACCCATTCCAAGGACAGACAAATTTATGGCAGCAGACACAGTCACACAGTCTACATTCGTTTCACTGATTAAAACTCGCTATATTACGTTACTCACTTTTCGCGTAATTTCTTCTATACAATGACCACGAGAATATTTTTATAAAACTCTATTTTGCTCTACGACAGATCGACCTCTGCCGACTTGATCCGTTCTCGACAACTGTTTAGGTCGTCCCAATCCTTCCCTTTATTTCAGGTAATGGGTATTTGGGAAAATAGTATCAGGTATTGAACGCGGAAGAAGCGATAAGGATGTCGACGCTGTCACGCTGCACGAAATTTTGTTCTTTTAACCCAGCCAAGGAAAAGAGAAGGGAGCGTTTCGATCTACCCCTGCTAGTGGATTTTTCGAACTTTTCCTAGCCATCTCCTTTTAAAACAATTTACAACCCATCGATCTTGCCCGTTTCAACTGACTTGAAGCTTTAAATTCGTATGTAATAGGTTTTATCTAATATTTTTTAGTTACCGAATATTGAGAAAAGTTGAAGGAGCATCGAATCGAAGAATTCATAATCTAATATTTCGGTAACCGAATTTTTTCCCAGCCACCTTGTTTCAAAACAATTGACAACCCATCGATCTTGTTCGTTTCAACTGACTTGAAGCTTTAAATTCGTATGTAATAGGTTTCATCTAATATGTTTAGTTACCGAATAGTGAGAAAAGTTGAAGGAGCATCGAATCGAAGAATTCATAATCTAATATTTCGGTAACCGAATTTTTTCCCAGCCACCTTGTTTCAAAACAATTGACAACCCATCGATCTTGTTCGTTTCAACTGACTTGAAGCTTTAAATTCGTATGTAATAGGTTTCATCTAATATGTTTAGTTACCGAATAGTGAGAAAAGTTGAAGGAGCATCGAATCGAAGAATTCATAATCTAACATTTCGGTAACCGAATTTTTCCCAGCCACCACGTTTCAAAACAATTGACAACCCATCGATCTTGTTCGTTTCACCTGACTTGAAACTTTAAATTCGTATGTAATAGGTTTCATCTAATATGTTTAGTTACCGAATAGTGAGAAAAGTTGAAGGAGCATCGAATCGAAGAATTCATAATCTAACATTTCGGTAACCGAATTTTTCCCAGCCACCACGTTTCAAAACAATTGACAACCCATCGATCTTGTTCGTTTCACCTGACTTGAAGCTTTAAATTCGTATGTAATAGGTTTTAGTCACTATGTCGAAGGAGCATCTAATCGAACATTTCATAATCTGATATCTCGGTAACCGAGTTTTTTTCCAGCCACTTCGGGGAAGCACACATTCTCGGTGTGTTTCGATATCGATGCAACGGTGGACTAACGCACACGGACACGAGCACGTACCATATTGTGGCACTAATATTCAGTCAGTACGTATCGGGGCAGTCGTGTTTCTTCGTAAATTTAACGATTTTACCGGCAGACGTGGGCACGTCCCGAAATGATGTACGGCACGCTCGTATGACTCGGTAGCTAATGCTTTAATATGCGCAAAGGGTGCCATGCCCGTGTCACGCGGATTACCGCTAATTGTAGTTTATGCTTTATACTACGCTATTCTCTTGTACGCTCTGTCGTCCGTTGGGTATTCGATATGTACAGAGCTG